CAGAAGGTCAATGGGAAAGAGTGAACTCCATCTTTGGCTGACGGACAACACGCACATTGCTGATATTGGGCCGGTATCCGGGGAAGAGGAGGACGTTGCCGCCAGCTCCCTGTTGTACAAAGTCGGTAATAATAATAAGGATGAGAAGTTGATTGCACTGTACGAGAAGAAGAAAGAAGTTAATAATAAAAAATCATCCGGTGTGGTCTCTGTGCGCCTGACTGAGCAGCTGCAGCGGGTGAAGGAGGTGCTGGCGACGTGGAAGGAAGTGGACGAACGTGTCTCCCAGCTGTGCACCACTTTACTTGCTCAGAAGATTACCTCAACTGACACTGCCTGCAGCGCTGATAAGATCGCGGATGGGCTGGTTGGCTTTTTGTCCGGCAACTTCTCTGGGAAGACGTGGAGGGACGAGTACCTCGGGGTGGACGCCACAATAATGAGCGGTGCAGCAGCGGCAACAGAGACTTCGGATAACGGCGTGAAGTTCCGGGGAGCGTGGGCGGAGTGGCCTGTTGGCAGGCAGGGGGAGAATCAGCTGTACCACTTTGCGAACTACAAGTTCACTCTTGTGGCGACGGTGTCCATTGACGGTGAGCCGAAGGAGGGTCCCATTCCAGTGATGGGTGTGCGTGCGGGCAGTAACGGAGAAAACAAACTTATGGAGTTGTCTTACAACAAAGAGAAGAAGTGGCAGGTGCTTTGCGGTGGCAAAACGATCAAGGAACACGGCAGCACTTGGGAGACAAAACGCCACGTGGTAATTTTGCTGCTGAACGGCAACCATGGCTCCGCGTACGTCGATGGTCAGCGTGTGGGTGGGGATACGCCATGTGCATTGGGAAATACGGATTCGAAAGAGATCTCACACTTCTACATTGGAGGGGATGAAGACAAGACACGGAGCCAAGAAGGCGTGTCTGTGACGGTGACGAACGTCCTGCTGTACAACCGCCCGTTGGATGAAGCAGTGATTGGCGTACTCAACCCAAACAAAATTTCTACTTCAAGGACACTGGTGGCAGGAGCAACGGGTGAAGGTACCGCTCGTCCCGATAAAGCACATGGTGATGGCAGCACTGATTGCGGAAGCGGACTGTTGCCATCGCTGCTCCTTCTGTTGGGACTGTGGGGGTTTGCGGCTCTGTGAGGAGTGACTGGCTGCCACGTGGGACACTTGCGCCCTCCCCACCACCGACAAAGACACACACCTGGCAATGAATTTCTCTTTTCTAAATAGCATTTATTAACTTTTCTCCCTGTTTGCTTTTTTTTGCGTTTTAAATCTTTTGTTGTATTTGCGACTGTGTGTCTTTTTTTCAAAATTCTTTTCTTTCTTTAAAATTTGTTTTTATTTCCCATTCCCCCATCCCACTTTTTTGCTTTTGGGGGCAATCACTATGGACGTTTTTTTCTTTTCTACTCTTCCCTCTTTAATTGTTTCTTCTGCACTCTTCCTGTGAGGGGTGCCGTGTGTTTCCCGCCCAACTGCTCTACTTGCACACCCACCGACACGCTCATGACGACGGCCCTGTGCGCCTCGCCTGCTGCACGCATGAGGAGGGGCCGCGACGAACGGCGCGCTGAAGGAGCCGTGACGTGTGGGCGTGCGACGAGGGACGGTGGGGCGGAGCACACATTTCTTTCCCTCTTGTTTTGTTTTTTTTGCGGCCAGGGCGGGCAGACACCCGCAGCGCCACACACACACACAGCCACACCCTGCCGCCGTGTTTTTTTTTGCTTTTTTTGCTTTTCGTGTTCATTTCACGCGCTGGCAGTCCCGTCAGCATTTCTCTCCCTCCTGATGATTTTTTTTCTTTTGCTGCGCTCACTCTCCCGATGGAGAGACGCGACTCCCGTCGTGTCTGCGTGCTTCTCTCAGTCCCCACACACACGAGTGACTGTGCTCTGCAGGCCGCACTCGCACGCCGATGAAAGGGCTGAGGGGAGCAGCAACACGCAGATGACCCCGTGAAATATAAACGATGTGCGGACACATGGAGGGTCAGACGGTTGAAGCACACGCAACCATCTTTTTAATTTTCTTTTGCGGGCAAAATATATACAGACAGTTTGGTGTGGCCACACGGCAGCCAGGCGATTTTTAAATTTGTGTGGAGCAGTAATGGACGATTTCTTTTTCATTTGTAATTATTTTGTGTGATGGGGTTTATATAAGACGAAGGGGGACGTTTTTTTGCTTTAAATAAATCTTGTATGGATTGCCACTGCCTGGGCTGCAGTGCAGTCATGAGTTTGAGCGGTCTTCTCGTTGTTTCCGCCATGCGTCTCTGCTGCACATTTTTGTTGTGCGTCTCTCCACACACTCTGCTCCCTCTCTTCTACTTCTTTATTGCTTTGTATTTCTGCAGGCACACACAAGATGCACATTGCAGTGGATTTGAACGCTCCTTTTGTGGTGCATGCTGGCAGTTGCGTGTGGCGGCTGTTGTCCTCTTCCGTGGCCATGAAGAGAAGGAAGGAGAGAGTGAGTGCGCAGCCCGAGTCTCTTTTCCTGCGGGTGTGATGCACCGCGTGTGACTGCGTTGAGTTGGGCTCCGTGTCCCATTGAGGGCGGGATGGCAGGGAATTTTGGTGCCGCGTCATGGATGGATGAGGGTTCGCTTGCGCGTGTGGCTGGTGTGGTGGGTGCTCGCTCCGTGTGCGTTGTGTGGTGGCCGCGGGTTTTTGCCATTTCCCTGGGGCTGTAGAGATGAGCTGGGGGAGATGGTGGTGGATGTCTTCTCCTCCTGCATGGTGGGTGGCTGCTGGCGTTGTGTGCCTTCCTTGCGTGGGTGCCGTCTCGTGGTGTGTGAACTGTGCGGCTGGGCCTGCTGCCCTCTCCTCATGTTGTCTGCTCTCACTCGCTGTATCCGCTGCACTCCGTCCCTCTCCCTCATGTTCCATCCCTTTTCCTTCTGGCTCACGGATCGACTCACTGACTGCAGCGACTCCACTACGGGTGACGATGACTGCGATGGTGACGATGGTGACGGTGCGGCACCGTGTGGTGTGCGCCGTGTTGGTCCTTGCGCTCTCGTACTGCTGCTGCACGTCCGTGTGCGTGACGACGTGAGGAGGCGATAATAATGATGACAGCAGTCATCTCAACCCTAAGCTAGTGAAACCAGATTTTACAGGAAATGCGCTTGATTCATTACAGCCAGAGGTTGGAGAAACTGGCAGGCCACAGACAGAAAGTAGGAGAAACGGTGAGGAAGTTTTAGGAAGTCAAGGACCTTCTTTGCCAAAGGAAGCAGGTACAGCCATTACTGGACACACACCGGGTGCGCCACAGCCACTAAGTTTTGCTAACGATAATCCAGAGTCACCAGGTTTGGCAACGCAGTCTCGACACACATAAGGTGCGACCGGTAAGTCAGATGCACAAAATAAATAGGCGGAGGAATATCCACAAGGTGCTGAGAATCATACTTCACAGACATCACATCAGAAAAAAAAAAAGTGCCAAATACGGAGGCGCCAATCACGACGACGACCACCCGCGCACCGTCACGTCTTCGCGAAATCGACGGCAGCCTCAGCAGCTCTGCGTGGGTGTGTGCCCCGCTGCTGCTCGCCGTATCCGCGCTGGCGTGCACCGCTGTGGGCTAAAAGGGAGCGTGGGCTGTGCGTGCCAGCACTCAGCCACGGGGACATGTGTACGTCTACTGTGGTCCGATGTATGAAGTAAGTGTAATTATGATGATTGTTTTTTGCTTTGTTTGCTTCCGCTGCCCTGCTGTGTGCTCCGCGTTGCTTCCCACATCCGTCACGTTGAACGCGTCGCAGACACACTCATGCGCATGTGCCGTGGAGCCTTGGGTGTGGTTTTTTTACGCTGGAGTCATTCGTTGCAGCTCCTTGTTTTTGTCCTCCTACTTTTTTGTTCTTTTACTAGTTTTTTGTTTTTCTTGCTGATTAATTGCTGCGGGGCTGTATGTGTGTGTTTTCGCCTTTCACTGATTCCATCTGTCTCATGGTGTGTGGTGTGACCTTTCTCTCCTTTTGCTTCCGCTCTGCGTTGACGTGTTGTTAGTTTGTGCTGAAGGCTACACGCAAGTGACAGGAGTGATGGCGATGATGATGGCTGGCCGTGTGCTGCTGGTGTATGCCCTCTGCGTGCTGTGGTGCGGTACTCCTGGCGGTAGATGTGACGAGGATGAATTACCGCAGGCCAGCTTAGTTGGTGCTTCTGGGAGTGACGGTAAAAGTTCGCTGGAACCGCCAATAATTGCCCAGGGAGGATCACCAAACTCGGTTTTAGAATCAATAAGTGTTAAAGAAACAAGAGCAGAAACAGATGAAGGTAGACTTTCGACAGAAGAGGAAGAGGAAGATGAGGATGAAAATGAAGGAATTCCTCAACCACCGTCACCACCACCACCAAAAAATGATGAAAAACTGGAAAAAGTAAATGAAAGTGAACCACAACCTGAAAATCAACGCCAAGTTGAAGGTGGAACACAAAACCAGTCAGAAAAAGAAACAGAAACAAATGGTCAAGAGGAAGTAACCAAAAAAAAAGAAGAAGAAAGTGAACTAAAGCCGCAAGATAACCAAACTCCAGTCCAAGAAGAGGATACAAGAAATGTAGGAGGACATCAACCGTCGCAGGGAAAAGACCAACAAATAAAAGTTGAAGCAAAAACACCCAGTAATCCTGCAGGAGATTATTCTCCGGGAGAACACAACGGCAATGATGGTTCTAATGAAAAAGAAGAAGAAGAAGGGGAGGAAGGTGTTGAGGGTCATGAAAGACATCGGGCTCAGGAGAGAGAAGAGGCTGCACATGTCTCAGGTGCCCCGGAAGTAAACTCCACTGATATTCAGCAGGAAGTCCAACGCACACATGCAGGAGAAACTCCGACAGGAATCAAACAAAAAGCTGGAGAAGAAAGGGATGATGAAACAGAAGAGGAACGAGAGGAACAAAAGGGAGAAAATCAAGAGAATCCTCCAGGCAAAGAAAAAGAAACCATAACTGGTGCAAACGCCACTAATCAAATAAACACGACACCTGGCGACAGTGACGGCAGCACCGCGGTCTCCCACACCACCTCCCCTCTTTTGCTTCTTCTTCTTGTTGTTGCGTGTGCTGCTGCTGCTGCGGTGGTGGCCGCGTGAGAGTGAGTGAGAGAGAGCCGTGCGCCGCCCGCACACACACTCGTCTTTCACTCACTCTCTGTGTGTGTGTCCCCTTGCATGGACTCTTGCCCTCACCTCACCCCACGAGGCACACACATAATGTGCCCATTGTATATATGCATGCACACCCATGCAGGCCCGTTGGTGTTCTCTTTTGCACCACACGCACCGCTGCCGTCCTGCCTGGCTGCATGGGCGGAGCACCGTAACTGTTTTTGTTTTGTTTTTATTGCATTGAGTGGGCGACCTCTCTCTCTCCCTGTGTGTGTGTTTTGCTTTACGGGAGCAATAAGAGTGTGTGCGCTGGTCGTCCCACGCTTCGGCTTCTTGTTTTTTCTTTTATTGTTTTGTCTTGTTGTTGTTGAGTGCACCCATTCCACTTTTATTTGATTGGCGGCATGCTTTGACCGCGGACACCTTAATGACAATTTAATCTTTTTTTGTTATTCCATATCGTTTTTTTTTGTTTTGAAGTGTCAGCCTCTTTTGTCCTTGTGAGGCCAATAAGTTTTTCCTTCGACATACGCCATGCGTCAGTTGGTCCACGTTAACCCGTGGCTTGCAGCGCTGCTGGTGCTGCTTGTGGTGATGCGTGTGAAGTGGTTGCTAGCGGATGCTTTGCTGTCACCCTGACGCATCCCTGCCTTTTTATTTTCGATGTGGTGCGTACCGACGGCGCGTGGGCGACTCCGGTTGTGGTGAGGGTCGTGCCTCTCACAGCGCAGGATGTGTCGCAGGTGTGCGGCTTCGTTTGTAAGAACCGATGGACGCTTGTCCGCATCAAGACGTTAAGAAGGATCCCTGATGAGAGCAGGAGGCACTGCGGCTTCTCCTGGCCCCGGCGATGGGGTCCACACCCTGTCGCGCTGCTAGGGCTTTGGTTGCATACGGGAACTCCGCTGCGGTGCGTTGCTGCTAGCACGACGGAGAAGAAGACGACTCCACCCCTCGAGGAGGGTACCACGCCATGCCCGGTGCGGGGAGGTGAAGCGGTCTGCCCGCAGGCTGTCGGACAAAACTGCACGACCGTTTCGCTGCGGTCATTCCGTTGATATCACCCGTTGCGGTGACGTCCACAAGAACCCCGGCGCCGAGGAGGATGGCTGCATCAATATTTGGTAGCGTAACATTGCAGGTCTCTCGTTTGTAAAAAAAAAATACATTTGCTGCGCGATTGGAGCGGCATCAAACTGACATCGTTCTTTTCCCAGGAAATAAATAACCGTAGCAAAGTGGCGACAAAAGTTTTCCGGTTGCAATGACTACCTTCAGGCCTGCACTGGGCGCGGTGGTGGCGTTGCCATTCTGGTGCGCCGCACCTTGCCGTGCGAGCGCCTGTCGCTCGTGGCACCAACTGCCTGGAGACCACCGCCTTCCGCGTGTGCCCACCGGCCAGCCCCAGCATGTACGTGGCGATCTTCTGCAGCCTTCCCAGGGTTGTGGCTCACGCTGCTCACTTTTTGAGCACCATTCGTCGCCCTGTTCCTGCAGAGCCCATTGCTGGCGTCCTGAATCTACACGATGAGCTGCGGGACGGTCGCTCACGATCAACGACGGCAGGAGAGGACCTCGCCGTCACCCCAAGCGGCATGGACTATGAGTTGTCCGAAGACCTGGCACAGGCAACGCTTATCAGCGGCCGCAGCGTCTTGTTTCCCGACGTGACTGCGCAACGCGTACTGCGTGTCTCCCACTGGACGTCCACCAGTTTACATGGACTCGGACCACCATCTGCCATCCCACACTGCAGGGACGGAGGACGGCATCCCGCGACAGGCAGGCATGCTGCCACGACGAAAACATGCCGCCCTTGTCCTGCGTGAAATCGACTGGAATGCATCCACCTCGGCGTGTGCAACGCCTCTGGCCACTGTGACCACATGGTTGGAGATGCGCAAATGCACCGTACCGCGCGGCAGCCGTGAAAGCCCCACATGTATCTGGACGGACGGAATGGAGCATGCCGAGTGTGTTGCAGCGGCAGCATGGAACGCGCACACAGCCTCACCAGGAGGCAGTCCACCCCGTGCTGAATTTGTCCGCAAACGGGAGTACCGCAATCATGCCCTCCGCGGTGGCTTCTCCATGCAGCTAGAGGTCCGTGCGAAACAGCTTGGTACCCTCTCGAGCTCAGACCTGTGATACCCCGAGGCATGGCGGCACCACGTCCCCGCTCACTGGGATCGGCTGCGCTGCGGTACTCTTGGGACTGCGACTGTGCTCAGCCTTGGCAGCAGGCAAACCCGCTACTCCGTCACACTGTCCGTGTCGCATGTGCTGCGATCCCCACTGCGGTCTGCACACTTTGTGCTCGCGTGCCCCCTGGTGACTGGAATATGGATTGACCCTTCACGCCGTGTGCGCTTGACTCGCCATCCGCGACTCTTCGCATGGCGTGGCCCCTGGTACCGACAAAATATTGAGTACGTTTCTGCGCCATTGTGCACCCGCTGCCGTGGCTCGCTCAGAACGATGATCAACACCTCTCTAACGGCAGCCTGCGAGGTTCCTGGGAAACGGGGGACAACATTCCCATCCGCAGAAAAGGGAGGGACGCATCCGCACAGAGAGAGTTGTCGGCAAATCCTGCTGCTCCCTATGCTGCTAGGGGTGAGCGCAGGACTGGTCCACCGCCGCCTGTCAGCACTGCTGGCACACCACCGACGTCAGTCCGGATCCACGCCACGACGCACGACCCCGGACGTGGTGACGCCTGTCCGTTACGAAACGGCACGATGGCTGAGCGAGTGCATCGCCGCGGAGTGCGAGCGTTTCGGGTCACTACCGTAAATGTCAAGCGTATCAACGAGCAAAAAACGGACAAAGAGCCTCTGCAAGCTCCAATGACAACCATAGTCCTTCAGCCACTCCGCTGCTGCAACCCCCACCAGCCGCTGAGCCGCCTGACGGTCCACGGGAGGCCCTGCCGCACATGATGTGGGATAACCCCTCTCGCACGACAGCACCGTTTTAGGCGGAAAAACTGGCCACGTTTCTACGGACAGTCCTCAGCCTATCAGCGAATAGTGGCCGCAAAGCATAACAAAAAGAAAAATTTTCCTTTTCTCAGTAGAAAAAAACGTCATCGTTACAGTCACAATTTTCACCCAATGAATTCATTGCGTAATGCCGCTGTGAGCTGCAATACTTCCTGGTATAATCCAGGTCCCTTGTCGAAACATTGATGCGGATGGGCGCCCATGCATTTCCCCCGATGATGGTGTATGTCTGAGACGTACCCTCTGCTCCAAAAGGACACGTCCCTCACCACAGCCGAGATCGACCTCGCGCTGGCGGCACGCATCGCCTTGTCAGAGGGAGAAAGGGTACGTCAGGGTGACAGCAAAGCACCCGCATGCACAACACGTCACAGACATCATCACAAGCAGAAGTAACAGCAGCGCTGGTGGCTGCGGGGTGACGTGGATCAACTGACGCATGGCACGCGTATAGAAAACCTAGTGGCCCGACAAGAATACAAGAGGGTGACACTTTTGAAACAATGAAACAATATGAGAATATAAGAAGAGAAGATTAAAGTGTCCGCTGTCACAGCATGCCGCCGTTCAAAAAGTAAAATGGGTGCACTCAACCACAACACAAGCAGAGAATCAAAAAGAAAAAAAGAAAAAGAAAAAGAAAAGCGTGGGACGACCAGCGCACACACTCTCATTGCTCCCGTAAAGCAAAACACACACACACAGGGAGAGAGAGAGAGAGGTCGCCCACTCAATGCAATGGAAACAAAACAGAAACAGTTACGGTGCTCCGCCCATGCAGCCAGGCAGGACGGCAGCGGTGCGTGTCGTGCAAAAGAGAGCACCAACGGGCCTGCATGGGTGTGCATGCATATATACAATGGGCACATTATGTGTGTGCCTCGTGGGGTGAGGTGAGGGCGAGAGTCCATGCAAGGGGACACACACACAGAGAGTGAGTGAGAAAGACGAGTGTGTGTGCGGGCGGTGCATGGCTCTCTCTCACTCACTCTCACGCGGCCACCACCGCAGCAGCAGCCGCACACGCAACAACAAGAAGCAAAAGAGGGGAGGTGGTGTGGGAGACAGCGGTGCTGCCGTCACTGTCGCCAGTTGGAGCCGTACCATTTGCAATAGCTGTGGTTTTTATTGGTGTTTCTTTTGTATTGTCATCTTTATTTCCGTCTTCTTGTGCTGCTTCCGGTACTTCATCAACACGTGCTGTATTTTTATTGGAAATCTCCTCTTCAGTAGCCTTGTCAGGGCCATTACTGGCGGCAACACTTTTTGCTGATGAGCGTGATGTTGGAGTTGATTCGGCATGGCTGTCAGATGTTCCATCCTGTTGTTTGTTCGTGGTGAGAACGCCGTCTTCTTTTCTTGACTCACTCCCTGACTCCGGGCCGCTTTGAGCTTTCTGTACCTGTTGCACTGAAACGACATCTGCAGAGCCGGGGTCTTCATTTTTTACTTGTGGCGTTGCTGCTGGTGCTGATTCTGCTGCCGGTGATTTGAGTCCTTGTCCCTGGGTAAATCCACCATCAAAACTGGGAATTTCTTCCACTGAATTTTCATTTGTGTTTCCTGCTGAGTTTCCATTTAGAATCAGTGGTGATGGTGTTCCCGGAGGAGGAGGAGGAGGAGGAGGTCTTTCTCCTTCTGGCATCGATGATAATTTTGATTTTTCTCTGCCTTCACTTAAACTTCTAGGTTCCTCACTTTCTTCTGTTTTCACTTCTTCCTCCTCTTCTTCTTCCGTTCTGACAGGGATTAATGGTGGTGTTTCAACCACAACCTTTTGCTGTTTGGTGTTATTTCCTGTTTGTGCAGCCAAAGACGGATCACCGTTTTCGGGACCTTCCATGACTAAATCTTGCGTTGCCTGTTCTTTAGCGTTACCAACAGCAGGATCAGGCACTGTACTCTGGGGGTTCTCTTCAATTCTCATTTCCATAGCTGTATCGCCATTGGTCAGCCCAACACCGCAACAAAACACGCAGAGGGCACACACCAGCAGCAGCACACGGCCAGTCATCATCATCGCCATCATCACTTCTCTCACTTGCGTGCAGCCTTCAGCACAAACCAACACCCCGTCAACGCAGAGCAAAGGGTAAGAGACACGGGCGCTACACCACGCACAGCCACGCACCGTAACAAATGGCAGCAGCCCAGCACCAGCAGCGCACACAAACCATGAGGCAGTTGAAATCAGTAAAGGGACAAAAACACACAACGCCCCGCAGCAAGTAAACAGAAAAAACACACAAAACAATTAAAAGCAAAACACAGGTAAACAAACAGCAATGAAGTAAAAAATGTAAAAACACACACAAAAAACTGCACCCAAATGGCTCCAGCGCGCATGCACCCATCCTCAAATTTGATTCCACGCAAACAGTTGTGTGCGTGGCATGCGTATGAGTGTGTCTGGGACGCGTTCAACGTGGCGAATGTGGGGCACGATGCGGAGCACACAGCAGAGCAGTGGAAACAAAAAAAGCAAAAAACGATCATCATAATTACACTTACTTTATACATCGGACCACAGTAGACGTACACATGTCCCCGTGGCTGAGTGCTGGCACGCACAGCCCACGCTCCCTTTCAGCCCACAGCGGTGCACGCCAGCGCGGATGCGGCGAGCAGCAGCGGGGCACACACCCACGCAGAGCTGCTGAGGCTGCCGTCGATTTCGCGAAGACGTGACGGTGCGCGGGTGGTCGTCGTGGTTGACGTCTCTGCATTCATGGCCGTATTACTTGGTGCCTCTGTAGTCGTAGTTGTAGTTGGTGCCTTTGTGGTCGTCGTAGTTGTGGTCGTCGTATTTGGTTTTATTTCCTTATCGGCTGTTTTTCCACCTCCTCCCGCAATGTCCTCATCGGGTCCCTTTAACTGACCGGAGATTCCTTCTGAAACCTCTCCCGCACCGGACACCGCATTTTCTGACTGTTGCGTAGCAGCACCCGCATTTGGATCCTGTCCGCCACCGGGCTGTTCTTCCATATCCTTTAACTCAGTGGTTTCTGAATCGGATTGTTCAGTATCCTCAATCTTCATACTAGCTGTCGTACAGACACACGAGCAGCAGAACAGGGCAAGCACCAACAGGGCGCACAGCAGACGGCACGTCGTCATCGTGAGTGTGGTCGTTCAGTGGTGTGGAGCTGATCTGCACAGTGAGGGAAATGGAGAGCAACAGGGGAGACGAGAGGTGCGGCAGACACACACAGAGGGCACACCACATGAGGAGAGGGCAGCAGCCAGGCATGCACCGTACGCCGCACACCAACACGCAGATGGAAGAGGGAGAGGCAAACAGGAGCGGCACACAAGGCTCCACCGCATGTACATACGGCGAGAGCGGTCCATCGTATCTGCACCCCTCACGGAGGGTGCGCACACACACAAGAGGAGGTGCAGCGCACACAGCAACAAAAAAGCAAAGTAACAATACAAAAAGGAAAGATCCCCTCACACCAAGAGGATTGTTGGTCCACGGGAAGTGCAGCCAATATTCAGCACAAAAACAATTCAGTTGCCGTGTGGCCTTCGTTCATATCCGACGCACACCACTTCATGCAGGCACGGACACCACCGCAGCAGCAGCCGCACACGCAAATATAAGCGCAACTAATGGAATAAAGCAAGCAAACATTTATTTGTGTTTCTGTTTGAATGTTGGCAGATGTCTGCATGCGTTTTGTTTTTGCGGAGGGTAAAACATCATGCCTGGGTCGTGTGTTGAAGATTCCCGCAGTGTACACAATTATTTTCTTTTTCTTCCTTTGAAGTTTTCTTGTGTTGGTGCAGCCAAGAATTCGGTTTGTGTTGTTCCTGCCTTTCGCTGGTAAAGTGCTGCAATAGATGTTTGTTTTTCCTTTCGTTGCTGTGGCACCTGATTCCTCACCGTTTATTGCGGTGGAAATGAAAATATGTGAGTGGACTTCTACACGCCAGAACGCACCTTCGCTCCTATTTATTGGTGCATGGAAGGGCGTGTGTGTTTGGTGGTGTCTCGTCCATATATATTTTGTGGGTGCACATTCCCCTGCAGGCTGAGGGCGGGATGGCGCTCCGTCGCGGTGCACTTCCCTCGCATGCCGCCCACTGTGATTCATCATGCATCACCCCCTCACCTACTCCGTGGTGCCACACCGCTGATATTATTGCAGCCGCTGTGATTCCGCGTATTTCACCCATTTGATTGTGCCACAATACATCCGCTCGTGTGGCCGCCGCATCCAAACAGCGGTGCCCAACACCGTGAGCGGCAGTCCACATCCTTGCATGTCCCAACGCAGTGGTGTTTGACTGTCCGCCAGGCGCCAGACAACAAGAGAGTCGTGTGCTGGCAGTACAACACACGGAGCTGCAGTGAATGACTCGGGCGGCGACGCATCTACTTGCCGCAAAGCAGTGGAAAGGAGTCGGGCAAAATAGTGCCGGCTGCATTCACGACACCATACCCACAGGCAAAGCATGCGACGTGATGTGTGTTTCACTGGTGCTGTAAAATGCCTGCAGACGACGTCACTAGTGGAGGCATGCCACCCATGATCAGCGGACAGACAATAATCGGCATGGGAGGCCACAAAAGGCAGCAACGACGCCAACAGCAGGAGCAGCTCTCTCTCTCTCTCTCTGTTTCCTCCGAGAAGTAAATATTCCACCAGCCACAGCTGACGGTGCCATCGTGACGCTCCATGCACGTCGTGGCTGCGTCAACACATCCTGTTCCCTGCGGCGCCTCAAAAGATGCCTCACTCCGTCCACTGAGTGCATCGATGCGGGCCGTGCCTCGGCTGTTCGGGAGAACCACAACGATGTGAGGGTCACCGAGTCGCAGCATGTTTGCTGTGGCGTTGTTGCATGGCACCTGCACACACACACACACGTAGCGCCTGCATCCCTCCCTTTTGTGTTCGCCCTCTGCCGGAGTGGCCACACACACGGGCGGCAGCAAAGTCACTTCACCCTCGACGACACAAAATCAACACTGACATCCCTCGCGACGCAAGAATCTCAGTTGCCAGCACGGGCTTCCTGTCGCTCTGCCATCGACGCTGAAACACGGCACAATGCACGCACTTATTTTCCTCGTGTGCAGTCAGCCGTTTGCTTCACACATTCTTCGATGGGCTGACGTCCACAAAAGCACGCCACAAAAGGCCACTGTGATCGCACAAGCTCTTGCGATGAGCGTCGGTGTGTGCATGGATCCGCTGCTCACACGTGCTGGAAAGCAGCCTGCAGCCGGTGCCCTCGTGCCAGTTCATCGGCTCCAGCACGGAAAAGAGAAAACGGCCTGTTCCCGATGCACTTATTCCCACCAGCAGCACCAACACGCTGGTCGCCAGCCGTCATTCCTCAGCACATCCAGGAATGCTGAAAAGTGACGTGGAACCGTCAGCCAGCAATGCCACAATCCCCGCACACATGTCGGCTCCACCAGAGAAGACACACAAATCACAAACAACACCCTCACATGTCTTCCGACCATAATTCCAACACACCGCGACACGCCAAACAGAAGTATTCGTCACTCCAATGCACCTCCCCACACAATCAAATAGTCCATGCACCACGCACGGCAGCAGCTCACACCCGTCTAAACAAGTGTTCTTCGGATCAGTGTTATCCACGTGCTGCAGTGGGAAGTAAACAAAAGAGACAGGCTGCCAAACCCCAAAGGAGTGCAACGACTGGTCGCAATTCAATGGAACGCTGCCACTCAAAGCAATTCAGTCCTCATGCCCTCAGCCTCCCACTTTCTCCCCAAAAAGCCCCAAGAGCTGCAAATCAAACGCGCAACGCCCCTTCCCCAGCAGCCGCCAACGGAGCGCATGTCCCGCTGCACACACCACGACGATTCCCCTCATTGTGCCGACGGTCCGCAGCGCCACCTCAGCGCCACACTTCACCGCCCCGCCGTCCCACGGAGAAGTCTTTCCTCCAACAAAATAAAGCACCAGCGGATATTCGCCTGGGCCGCTCGCCGGACCCTCAACTTGTCTAAAGAAACCAAGCAAGACGGGAGGAAGGGGCAAATGGAGGGGCAGTGGGTTCGCCATCTCCTCCGTGCTTGCTCCAACCACATATATATATTTATATATATTCGGACTGCCAATCTCGTGGCATGCTGCAAGTTGTTGGGGCTAGAAATATTATGAATTACGAAGTGGCAGACTTCGGAGTCCTCCAGCCACAAGACACCGCCGCGTGGTGGGAAATCAAAAAGAGGGCTGCTGGGACGGCAAAAACATAAATAAGTCATTAATTTCTTCTCACCGCTATCGGCACCCTAATTACGTCCATCGCGGTCATCCAATCGACCACAAGAAATAAAAAAAATTACGCACAGAAATGTCTCCGTTTTATAAGAAGATATGTTAATTTGGGCAGCCAGCCCTCGTCGCAAGCATCCCGGTCACAAGCGCCCATTCTTCGGCTCGTCCACACACTTCATTTACCGCCCATCCCAAAACACACACAATAGGAGAAGCAAAGGAGCTTCACACAAAGCCAAGGCAAATAAATAAATAATAATGGGAGATCGCAGCCCACACGGGTCCCTCGCACACGCACACAAACGCCCCCACAGCATTCCTCAGAAGAAGTCAAACAGATTGTTACTCGTAAACCATCAAAAAGAAAAAAAGCGCGTGGCGCCTCGACATTGGCAGCCAACACAGGAGAGGCAGAGTGTATAGAGCATGTTCCTGGTATAAAGTGTACAGACAAACAGAACGTATGTATAGAAAGGCATATCAATTAATATAGGCTTTTCTCTCTTGCATCCAATGCTGAGTGCCATCCGCGCAGGAAGTAACCACAGTCGCATCGCCGTGCAACGGAATCCATGCAGCCACTCAATAGAGTGTTGGTACGGCGGCGGCAGCGGCAAGCAGAAGAAGCAGTGGAAAGGGACAGGGACAAGCAGCAGCAGCACTGTTATTGCCATGGATCGGAGGCGGAAAGACTGTCAGGTCTGCCTCCAGATCTCCGCACCCACCGCTGCATCATCATCGCTCGGCGGAGGGTCCACGGCGCCCTGCGCAGCATCAGGGCCCTTGGGTCCCGTGGTTGTGGCACCGCCACCGGCCCTGTCGCTGGCGGCTCCATCTCCTGCCGGTTGTCCCACAACAGACGTCACACCATCGGCGGCGACATCGTCGTTGCACGGAAGATCGCTCTTCTTCAAAGCCTCCTGCGGCGCACCCGCAGTGTCGCTGGGTGAGATCACCCCGTTGCCGTCGGAGCATCTGGGGCGACTGCCTCTCCTCGGGCGACGGAATCTTCTGCGGTGCAGCCGAGTCAACATCCTTCGGTGGGGTGCCGCGGCCGGTCTCAATGCTCTCCGCAACAGGGACGGATGCCCCTCGCAATCCTTGTTCAGTAGATGCCGGTGGAACCGTCCTGCTCCACACGCTCTCTCCTCGCCATCACACGGAACCACTGGAAGTAGGCTGCCGGCAGTGGCGGATATCCTGCACGCCTCCGCGTGGTCACGGCGAATGGCGTTTCCCTCATCGTACGGTCGAGTGGCCCACGTAATCGTCGCCCCGTCCGTGCATGATACCCAACGGACGTTACCCTTTTCGACCACTCTAAGACGCACCTGCATGCCGGGACACCTCAATGCCGCATGCAAGGCAGCAATCAGATATGTATCCTCCGGGTCCCTCGCATCTGTCGTGTTCGTGGGAAGCGTGTCCAGACACCACGAAGAGGTCTCATCGCCAGGCATCACAGACAAACATTCTCTCCTCCAAATAACAGCGTCAGCATCCCTCACATCCACTGCGGGATCAGTGACGGGGAAACTGTCCATCGGGCGTTTTGCTGACATTTCATGAACGCTCCCCAAAAAACAGCCAATGGAATACAGATCCGACGCGCAGCATTTGAGGGGACGCCCAATTCGCAGAGCATGTGGGGATATTCACTCATTTTCAGTGCAGATCAATTCCTCTGCAGCAGCACAACTTCGTGCACCAACGCATCGGCTCCGCCATATTCCACCTCACCCTCATGCAGCCCAGGTCAGCCGATGCGGCCAGCGTCAGCTCTGTGCAGTCGCCGACACCCCCAATCGGTGCCATCCACTCATCCCTCGCTTGGCGCTGCCGCCAGTGCGACTCCAGCGTCCTCCCGTCCCCATCGCCATCCTGCAGCTCCATGCCATCAACGTCGTCGCAGTCGTGGTGCTCCCTCGCTGCCATCGCGGCATTCGTCGAGTGCACCACCACCGACAGCGCCCCGCCACGCACACCGGCAACATTCCTCACCATGCTCCGGCTGGCCATGTGCGGGTAGGCAAACTCGAGAGCATGGCTCATGAAGTGCGCGGCGATGCGGGTGGCGAGGCGTCGGTGAAATAAAACTGCCGGGCAAAGTGCATGGCGCCAGCAACTGGACGGCCATCCTCCAGCGTGGCGCACGGCAGTGCCCACACACCACCCAGTGCCGCAGCCACGGACAGCACCATGCCAGAATTGGCAACACCAGTGGAACAATGCCCAGCAGGCACCGTGAACCAACTGCAAACACTGCCCGTGGCAAGTGACGGCACAATCAACGGACCCTCCAGTGGCTGGACGAGCAGACAATCCGCATGCAGTTTAACAGCAGCAGGGACAACCTCCTCGGCAACAGCGTTCTCGTGCGCAGACGACGCAACGCCATTCTTGCAGGCAAACGCGCCGTCCAATGCATTCTCTGTGCAACAACAGGAGAAGCCGCAGTGCCTCCTGCTGTCACACGGGATCCTTGTTGACGCCTTGATGCGGACGGTCACCCATCGGTCCCTCCAAACGAAGTCGTGAAGCCGCAATGCATCCTGCGCTCCGAGAGGCATTTTCCCCACCGTAACCGGAATCGACCTCGCGCGGTCGGTCCGCACCACAGCGTCACGAAATCAGGAGTAATTCAGGGTGACAGCGAAGCATCCGCTGACAAATCACATCGCAGGCATCATCACAGGCGCCATCACTAGCAGAAGCGGTGGAGGTCGCGTGGCGAAGTGGATCAACTGACGCATGAAATATATAGAAGAAAAACGTGGTGGCTTGACAAAGATAAAGAAGGCCTACACTTTCTCACCAACGAAAGAAACGTTAAGAGAATATAAAAGAGAGGATTCACGTGACAGCAGTCAAAGCAACCACAAAAATCAAAAAAAAAAAAAATAGGTGCATTCAACAACAATAAGGCAAAACAATAAAAGAAAAAACAAAAGCCGAAGCGTGGGACGACCAGCACACACTCTCATTGCTCCCGTAAAGCAAAACACACACACAGGGAGAGAGAGAGAGAGGTCGCCCACTCAATGCAATGGAAACAAAACAGAAACAGTTACGGTGCTCCGCCCATGCAGCCAGGCAGGACGGCAGCGGTGCGTGTGGTGCAAAAGAGAGCACCAACGGGCCTGCATGGGTGTGCATGCATATATACAATGGTCACATTATGTGTGTGCTTCGTGGGGTGAGGTGAGGGCGAGAGTCCATGCAAGGGGACACACACACAGTGAGAGAGAGAGAGAAGGACGAGTGTGTGTGTGGGCGGTGCATGGCTCTCTCTCCCTCACTCTCACGCGGCCACCACCGCAGCAGCAGCACACGCAACAACAAGAAGAAGAAGCAAAAGAGGGGAGGTGGTGTGGGAGACCGCGGTGCTGCCGTCACTGTCGCCAGTTGGAGCCGTACCATTTGCAATAGCTGTGGTTTTTATTGGAGTTTCTTTTTTATTGTCATCTTTATTTCCATCTTCTTGTGCTGCTTCCGGTACTTCATCAACACGTGCTGTATTTTTATTGGAAATCTCCTCTTCAGTAGCCTTGTCAGGGCCATTACTGGCGGCAACACTTTTTGCTGATGAGCGTGATGTTGGAGTTGATTCGGCATGGCTGTCAGATGTTCCATCCTGTTGTTTGTTCGTGGTGAGAACGCCGTCTTCTTTTCTTGACTCACTCCCTGACTCCAGGCCGCTTTGAGCTTTCTGTACCTGTTGCACTGAAACGACATCTGCAGAGCCGGGGTCTTCATTTTTTACTTGTGGCGTTGCTGCTGGTGCTGATTCTGCTGCCGGCGATTTGAGTCCTTGTCCCTGGGTGGAGTCCTTATCCGAGCTGGGCAGTTCTTTCGCTCTTGCTTCATTTGAAGTTCCTGCTGAGTTTCCATTTATTGTCGGTGTTGATGTTTGTCCCGAAGGTGGAGGTGGTGGTGGTCCTGGTGGTGGTTGTTTTTCGCGTGTCTCTGTGTCTTCGTCTCCTTCTTCTTCATTTTCGCTCATTTCCGCATCTTCTTCATTTTCCTCCTCATCCTCGTCGTCGTCTTCATTCTCGGTCATTATCTCACCTTCTTGTTTTTGATCTAAATTTAGGTTATTAGGCAGCGGAATATCAACTCCATAACTCTGTGGCGTTCTTACATTTCCTGCTGATTCTTGTCCTGAAGTCACCGGTGATTCTTTTTTTCTTCCGGGCGGCGAAACCTCGGTAGTCCTTGTCTTTTCATCTTCCTTCGTGATGGTATCCCCCTTGCCATCAGCAGCAGAAGCAGCAGCAACATCGCACCACAGCACGCAGAGGGCACACACCAGCAGCACACGGCCAGTCATCATCATCGCTATCATCACTCCTGTCACTTGCGTGCAGCCTTCAGCACAAACTAACCCCCGTCAACGCAGAGTGAAAGCAACAAGGAGAGACAAGGCACACAACCACGCACCGCCCCATCCAGCAATGAGAGTCACGCACCACAACAACAATTAGCTGAGCGCGGTTCAAAAACAAAAGAAAAAAAAGAGGAGCGCTCCTCGCCCGTGCACCGTTCCTTACACTCCCACAGTCACTGTTACTGTTATTCTCTCTCCTCAGGCCATCACAGGCACGCCACGCTCACTCCAACACGCGCCCCTCCAGCACAGGCCTCGGGATCGTCGGGACCTCCCACCACAGGCAGTCCGTCATGCGCTCCCGCTGCGCCGCAACATCCGCCACCTCCTCCCTCAGTCCAGCAGCTCCGTGTACTCCACGTCCCTCACAATCGCCGGCATGCCCCGGCCGCGGAACACACACAGCGCCACAATGTCGTGCCGCCTCTCCTCCACAATCATGAGCGCAACGCCCAACGCGTACTGGCGCACGTGCTCCATGCGCTGCAACCACACGCCGATCATGTTGGCCGTCACGCACTGTATCTTGTTGTCCTCATTGTGTATAGAGCAGACCCTAGCAGCCTCTCAATCCACGGCTTGGTGCTGCAAGAGGCTGCCGAGAGGTGCTACTTTTGTGGAAAAACACAAATGTGCGGAAACAACGGCCACCCTCACACATCTCCACTCCCTCCACTCACCCGCACACAAGGACGGTGTCATGGGGAAGAGAAGCCCGCCGCACAGCGCATGCACAAGGGCACATGCAATAGCAACGCCATCCACGTCACACCGCAAGATAGTGTCATGCGCACAGCACACACACGGCGGCAACGAAAGGAACGGGCGGATACAAGTACATACCGCAGTCCTTCACTTCTCCCTTCCCGACGGATTGGCGTCCCACACCCACAAATAAGGCACGGCGCACACCATCCGCTACCCTCCGAGTGCACTCAGCAGGCCGGCGCCCAGTCACCCTCGTGCCATCGCAATGGGGAACACAAACAATCGTCGTCGCGGAACATCGGTGCCCCTAGAAATAAGAAGAAAAAAAGAGGAATTGCCAACAGCACAATCAGCAGAGGGACGCCCAGTGAGAGTGGACACAGCAACAAAAAAAACAAGCAGCAGTGATTTGCCAAAAAAGAAATGCAGAATGGGTGAGAGTCAGGCATGACTCCCAGAAGAAAAAAATTTGTAAAAATTAATTCGGCAAGACTTTTATTTCATGTGTCGACCAGCACAACATAAAGACCATGTGTTTGTGTATATACACATTGACCGCACCAAAAAAAAAAAAAAAAAAAAAAAGGTAAAAAAAATGGTGGCATAAAAAAGGGCGGGCGATGCGGCATTTATTCTCCGTGAGGAGTCGCTAATCCACACTCTGTGGCTCAGAAGACTGCCACCACCCAAATACAATCCCAGTAGAAGCAGCAACACACAAGACACGCACACACGCACGGTGTTGTTACCGCCTAAATCACGCAGTATCAATTTCACGTCGTTGAGAGAGGCGAGGCGGTCGTCGGGACTCACGCCGCTCCACACCCTGCAAGGTGACTGTTTGTGGTGGGGATTCGTGTCCAGGGGCGTGTTGCCCATTCATTTCTCTTCGGTAATATCCCCAGCAACGTGCTCTCTGACGCTGTCAACTACTCGAATCATCTCGGACGGTGTCGGGGCCGCATCCCTTGTCGGAGCGAGAACCCTGTCCTTGAGTGCACGCATCGCAGTGGAGTTCGGTGGGTGGCTGTGCAGAAAGACGTTCGTCACCGTCACATGAGATTCGTGCCCAACGCACGCGTCAAAGCGAACCCTCAGGACATCAGGTGGCCTCTGGCCTGTCAACAGCATCTCTTCCTCCCCAGCGACTGACCATCAACGTCCACAGAGGCCTTGTTGCCTTGCAGCATGAGTGCCGCTTGGTATTCTTTCCTCGGCCCCCAAGTGCTGCTCCGTGTTGTTGTCTTGCCTTCGAACGCCGTCTCCCACTCCTTATTGTGGCTGTACGACAGTCCCACGGTATGATTGGACGCAGTGTCCGCCAGCATCGCAGTCAGTGGAGGAGTGTTCCCACTCGGAGCCTCTTCGATGGTCACCGACACCACAAGTGTGAAGTCGTGGCTCAAAAATACATGACGCACTTCATCACCCCGAGTGTTCACAGGCCATATTGCCCTGGACTCAAGTCCCGTCAATTGTAACCCATCGTTGTCCTTCACTGCATTCCTCCACCGTTGCATGCAGGCAAAGGTACTCGTCGTCCCACGTGCCATCACTGGCCGCATCGAAAAAAACAGCCACCAGACCCGCCGTGGGTGTAGACAAGCTGGAGAAGAAAATGTCCTTTTGCGCCCAAGTACTGAGGACGGACCTGACCGCACTCAGTTCCTCCGTCAGGCGGGAAAGTGAAATGACACGGCCCTCACCGTTGCCCCTCCGTTGTAAAAGATGCAAATTGCCATCCGAGTGCAGCAGGGTGCTGGCGAGCATCCAATCCGCAGCTTTGTCCACGGCAACCGGTCCAACAGAAAACGTGCGGTTGTTGTCCGTGACCCAAAGGCAGAGCGCAGTGGCCCTTTTCTTCCCCGAGGTGCGCCCACTCTGAGTGCACAGCATGACCCTCCTTCCTTCCCTCAATGGTCGCAGTGATGAGGGCATCCACATGCAGGCTTCCTTCTGGGAGACTCCTGATCGTGCGTTGACCCACACGCCTGAGAGTGTCCCGATGGCCTCCGTCCACGCTGTCCCCATGTCACGCGACTCGTGCTCCCTCTGGGTGTTCTCGCAGTCAACAATCATGAGAAGTGATCCCTCCCATTCGGTGAAGCGGGGCTAAGGCATTCCACAGGGGAAATGTCCTCAGAGAGCGCCCAGGCACTGCCGCTGTCCGTCGAGTAAATGATCATGGAGCAAACGTCTTCTGCTTCATCCTTCACCATCAGAGGAAACACAAGCGTGCCATCCTCCATCAGAGCACCCGAGCCACCAGAAGCAATAAACTCCGTCCAGTCACCTTCGTGAGAAGCAGAAGAGGTCAGTTTCGAGAGTGGTTTGGGGTCGCCCCATTCGATCCGTCCACTCTGCCTGCCACCCGTGGGATTCGTGACATTGCCCACAACCAGTTTCAGCTCCAAGCCGCCCTCTCTCCAACACCCACCTTCGTAGAACACATCAGAGCCTCCCGCAAGAGGAAACACTCCGTTGCCCTTTGAGATTGTTGTGGGGCGGAGCACAACACCCAAACTCTTCTCTCCCTCCGCTGCACCAACCACAGTGTGTGCCCTCGGTGTATCCTTTTATTGACCTCACCAACAAGAGTGGACCAATTCCACGCAGAGTCAATGCACCCCGCAACCACATCAGAAGAAAAGGGCTTACTTAATTGACCACCTTGATATTCGGCATCCATGTGACCTTCAAAGAAAACAGCAATTACTCCACCAGCACTGACGAGAGAGGGTGAAGCAAATAAATCCCTCGTCGTAACTGGAACAATCCCATCCTTCGGCTGCACCAGCGTCGTCTGCGCCACAAATAGATCGACTCCCCGCGGCAACTCAACATTTATTAAACCACTCATCGCACCATCAATGGGATTCCCCTTCCGCTCGGTGACAGGCGTGGGACTTCTTTCGGATGGTGCCGGAGCTACTTTTATGTTCCGAACAAAGGCAAACTCAGGCTTCTTCTCGGACGTGTTGGTCGCCGTGTTGGATGCGGGACTCTGGTCGACTGTATTGGCTGAGTCAGCCGCGGCAGACTGTCGCCAATCCTCGTTTTGACGTGACGGCTCAGCATTAACTTGCGGCGCAGTTGTCCCACCAGATTTTGTGTCATCCTTCCCTTCACGGGGTGGCGGCAACTGACAGATGCCCGTCCGGTCAGCATCGCCGCTCCGTGCAGGCGGATGGATGGTTCCATCGGGGGAAAATTGACGCCACCACAATTCATAAGGGCCGGCGTATTTATGTGTCGTCACATTCATCGTGAAGGCAACGGTGGCCCCTTCCTCTTCCGTTGCACAGCTGGCAGCACAGTTGCTACATGCGTGCACCGCATTGGCCACATGGCACACAGCACCTAGCTCACCATTCCTGCTATGCATGCGCTCATCAAAGCCACTAAAAGTATAATTCTCATACCGAGCCTCAGCACCGGCAGCAGAACACTTCTTCCACGCCCACACACACACACGCACGCGATAGCTCAGGCTGGCGTCACTCGGAGCACACGACACATCCACAGGCAAAACCACCGTATCCGCATCACCAGATACATGTCCAGCACTCCCAGCACCCATCACGCTCACAGAATTGCAGCAGTAGCAGTGCAATAGCGCAACTGCCAGCATGCACCACAAAAGGAGCATTCAAATCCACTGCAATGTGCATCTTGTGTGTGTGTGTGGTTGTGTGTGCCTGCGGAAACACAAAGCAAAGAAGTAGAAAAGAGGGAGCAGAGTATGTGGAGAGACGCACAACAAAAATGTGCAGCAGAGACGCATGGCGGAAACAACGAGAAGACCGCTCAAACTCATGACTGCACTGCAGCCCAAGCAGTGGCAATTCACACAAAATTTATTTAAAACAAGAAGAAAACGTCCCCCTTCGTCTTATACAAACCCCATCACACAAAATAATTATAAATGAAAAAGAAATCGTCCATTACTGCTCCACACAAATTTAAAAATCGCCTGGCTGCCGTGTGGCCACACCAAACTGTCTGCATATATTTTGCCCGGAAAGAAAATTGAAAATATGGTTGCGTGTGTTTCAACCGTCTGACCCTCCATGTGTCCGCACATCGTTTATATTTCATGGGGTCATCTGCGTGTTGGTGCTCCCCTCAGCCCTCTCATCGGCGTGCGAGTGCGGCCCGCAGAGCACAGTCACTCGTGTGTGTGGGGACTGAGAGAAGCACGCAGACATGACGGGAGTCGCGTCTCTCCATCGGGAGAGTGAGCGCAGCAAAAGAAAAAAATCATCAGGAGGGAGAGAAATGCTGACGGGACTGCCAGCGCGTGAAATGAACACGAAAAGAAAACAAAACGAAAAGAAAACACGGCGGCAGGGTGTGGCTGTGTGTGTGTGGCGCTGCGGGTGTCTGCCCGCCCTGGCCGCAAAGAAACAAAACAAGAGGGAAAGAAATGTGTGCTCCGCCCCACCGGCCCTCGTCGCACGCCCACACGTCACGGCTCCCTCAGCGCGCCGTTCGTCGCGGCCCCTCCTCATGCGTGCAGCAGGCGAGGCGCACAGGGCCGTCGTCATGAGCGTGTCGGTGGGTGTGCGAGTGGAGCAGTTGGGCGGGAAACACACGGCACCCCTCACAGGAAGAGTGCAGAAGAAACAATTAAAGAGGGAAGAGTAGAAATGAAGAAAAAAAACGTCCATAGTGATTGCCCCCAAAAGCAAAAAAGTGGGATGGGGGAATGGGAAATAAAAACAAAACAAATTTTAAAGAAAGAAAAGAATTTTGAAAAAAAGACACACAGTCGCAAAGACAACAAAAGATTTAAAACGCACAAAAAAGCAAACGGAGAAAAAATTAAATAAATGTTATTTAGAAAAGAGAAATTCATTGCCAGGTGTGTGTCATTGTCGGTGGTGGGGAGGGCGCAAGTGTCCCACGTGGCGGCCAGTCACTCTTCACAAAGCCGCAAACCCCCACAGTCCCAACAGAAGGGGCAGCGATGGCAGCAGTCCGCTCTCACGCACAGTGCCGCCATCACCCGTTGCTTCTCCAGCGGCATGGGAGTTCGAAAACGCCGCCTTCCCCACACTTCCCTGCGATGTATTCGCCGGCACTTGCTCTGTGTTGGCAGAGTCCCCCACCGTTGCATTTTGCCCTGCTTTACTTTCTTGTTGAGGCTGCTGCAATGCCGCTTGAACCACTGGAGCTTCAGAAGTTTTGCCTGCAATGGACGCTTCGGCACGAGGTTCTTCGGTAGAAGACGCTGCTGCACGTGGTTCCTCTTCATAAGGTTCTTCTGCGGTGGACGCTTGTGCTTTAATTTCCTCTCGAGGCTGCTGCGGTGCCGCTTGCACCCGTGGAGAAGGCATTTCTGTGTGAGGTTGGCCTGGGGAAGACGCTTCTGCATGAGGTTCTGCTGCAGGAGACACCACCGGAGCAACCACAGACTCTTCTACTTGCTCCTCTTGCTCTTCTCCCTTGTCATCCTCCAACACACTCGGAATGACAAGACTGCTGCCGTTGGCGGCAATGGTGCAGACCTCAACGTACTTCGGGCACTTGATCTTTCCGTCTTTCTCAAAATTTTCCAACGTCACTGGGATTACAGAGCCCTCGGGGCATTCATGCCAATTATCAGTGTTGCCGAGGTACTTCACCTTCACTGTGCCCTCTGCACACAACACCTGCGCGCACACTCCCTTTACGCTTTTATGTTTACCGTCCTTCGTCTCCAGTAATTCCGCATCCAGGCACCACGAGTCACCGCCAGTCAGCGACCCAGGGGGAGAAGTCACAGTTCCGTCCGAGCACGTATTGTACTTTATCCCAGACGATTTTTCGTGAAAGTACGAAGAAACAACAGGGCAAAAGTCCTTATCCGTAGGACTCCCCTCGTTTTCAACGATGATTGCGGTGCACGTCCCGACGTGACGGCGGTCGGAGGTGCAGCGAAGCGTCTCTTTGTCGGAGTCATTGCAGAACATGTGGGGATACTTGCCGGCAAGATTCTCGGTTGCATTGCACTTCTTCTCCAGGAAGTCGCAGCCGGTGCCGTTGCCCCAGCCCATCGGCTCCGCCATGCTCCAGTTCACGCGGTAGTACTCCATATCCGCAAACACTGCCATCGTCAGAGCCGTGTAGTAGCCGGCACCAACTATGGGAGCCATCAGCTCGTCCCGCGCGTGGCGCTCCTTCCAGTGAGGGATCGCCTTTTCCCGAGTGCCACCTTCGTCCTCCAGCTCCATGCCCTCGAGAGAGTCACAACCAAAGTGCGCTTTCGCCTTCTCCTGAACGTGATCCCCTGCCACCATCTTGCGGACCTTCTCACGCACAATGTTAGCTGAATTCTTCACCAGGCTCTTTTCCTCCATACTCTCTTTACTGAACCCAAGTGCATGCGCAATTTCGTGTGCGGCAACGCGAACGCTCCACGCCGTGTCAGTCATGTACCTTGGATCAAAGTTGATGGCGCCGATGGAGGGACGAAAATCTTCCCATGTGTTACACGTGGCCGCCCAAACAGCCCTGCTATTCGTGCCTGATGGCCCAGCAGAAGCGTAGATGACAAAGTCAGCAGCCACACCGTATCTCATGTGCTCAGTAGGAACCTTAAAGTGTTTGCACGCTTCATTCAAATTACTCGGCACGGTTATGTTCCTTTCAGTGGGTTTCACAAGTAGTCGCTCAGCGTGCAGTTTGACAGCACCTGGGAGAATCTTCTCAGTGTACAATTTCTTCTTTGCTTCCGACAATAAATGTTCTTCTTTACAAGTTATCCACTCCCCCAAGAAGCTGTCGCACTCATCCCCAACCTTTTCGCAATACGTCTTTTTCCTCCTCGTACTCTTCAGTCCATCCGTGAACACCTTAATGCGGATCGGCTCCCAGCCACTGTTGTCATCCTGTGTGGCGACGGTGTACGCCCGCATGGTTCCCTGTCCCTTGCGCGGCACCTCACGCACAACCGCAGTCGAAAGCAGGCCGCTCCTCATCATCTCGTCCAATCCACGCCAGTATTGTGTGGCGGGTGCAGCGGCAATACACGCAGTGGCGCAGTACATCAGCAGCAAAACCAGCAATGGGAGTGGCGGCGTGGCATGGTGTGGCTGGCGCATGGCCTGAGGAATATGCATTTCTTGGTTTCTTGTGTGAGCAGCAGCAGCAGTGCAGCCTGGCTGTGGGAGGAGAGAGAAAAAGGACAAAGAGAGAGAAGAAAGGGGAAATGGTTTAGTGCCAGTAATGCGTCAAAATGCGGCACATGCAGCGGAGTAACAGGAGACCACAGAGACAGCCATGCACACCGCGTGCGCACCAAACCCATCAACGGGACAAACCGTTTATCCGTCGTTGACTGAGCGTCCATCACCGTCGCACGCATTCCTTATCGGCCGCAACACTCCCTACACGCGGAGTGTTTCGTCTGCTCTCCTCGCGGTGTAGCAATAATCGTGTGACCGGCCACTTAACAGCCACCAATTGTGCAGCGCCGTCCCAGGTGCGGGAGCATCGCACAGCGCCCGCTCTTTCTATCCCAACAGCTCATATGAGCAACGCCACCGCACGGTAACCTCATTATAATGGGCAGCCCTGAGGCGGAGATGGAAAGAGTCATGCAAACAAATATATTTTTACTCTCTCTTGCGGTGCTCGAAAACAAGCGTGACGGCGTTGCAATTATCATGACGGTTCCTTCCCGCAATGCCACTGGCCAAGGAGTTACTGTGAACGCACTGCGTGGAAATCACCGTGTTCGCCGTTGTTCCCTCCAACTACCCACGACCACGCCGGCCATTCCCACACGGCGGATATGAGCGTTGCCAAAGACAGCCACAAGCACCAAAACACCGGGCTCCACGGTGCCCTCCATCACCATCCGCAGCGTGCGTGCATGCGTTTTCAGCGTACACACCGCTCCACAGCGTGTGCAACTTGGCTTGTATGTGTGTATCTGAGTGTTTGTCAGCGCCTATACTTGCAGAGCAGCTGTGCGGCACAAGAAAGTCCAAAGAGAGCAACGGCAGAAAGAAGCGGATAGCACACACGCAAATCACTCATATCATCACACACACACACACACACACACAGCCCGCGGAATGGGTGCACTCAACCACAACACCAGAAAACCAAAAACAAAACAATAAGCCGAAGCGTGGGACGACCAGCACACACACTCTCATTGCTCCCGTAAAGCAAAACACACACACACAGGGAGAGAGAGAGAGGTCGCCCACTCAATGCAATGGAAACAAAACAGAAACAGTTACGGTGCTCCGCCCATGCAGCCAGGCAGGACGGCAGCGGTGCGTGTCGTGCAAAAGAGAGCACCAACGGGCCTGCATGGGTGTGCATGCATATATACAATGGGCACATTATGTGTGTGCTTCGTGGGGTGAGGTGAGGGCGAGAGTCCATGCAAGGGGACACACACAGAGAGAGAGAGAGAAGGACGAGTGTGTGTGCGGGCGGTGCATGGCTCTCTCTCCCTCACTCTCACGCGGCCACCACCGCAGCAGCAGCCGCACACGCAACAACAAGAAGAAGCAAAAGAGGGGAGGTGGTGTGGGAGGCCGCGGTGCTGCCGTCACTGTCGCCAGGCGTCGTGTTTATTTGATTAGTGGCGTTTGCACCAGTTATGGTTTCTTTTTCTTTGTCTGGAGGATTCTCTTGATTTTCTCCCTTTTGTTCCTCTCGTTCCTCTTCTGTTTCATCATCCCTTTCTTCTCCAGCTTTTTGTTTGATTCCTGTCGGAGTTTCTCCTGCATGTGTGCGTTGGACTTCCTGCTGAATATCAGTGGAGTTTACTTCCGGGGCACCTGAGACATGTGCAGCCTCTTCTCTCTCCTGAGCCCGATGTCTTTCATGACCCTCAGCACCTTCCTCCCCTTCTTCTTCTTCTTTTTCATTAGAACCATCATTGCCTTTGTGTTCTCCCGGAGAATAATCTCCTGCAGGATTACTGGGTGTTTTTGCTTCAACGTTTGCTTGTTGGTCTTTTTCCTGCGTCAGTTCTTTCTCTTCCCCACTTTTTGTATCCTCTTCTTGGACTGGAGATTCGTGATCTTGCGGCTGTGGTCCATTTCCATTTACTTTTTCCAGTTTTCCATCATCGTCTTTTGGTTGTACTTCCCCTCCTCCTTCTCCTCCTCCTGGTGGTTTTGATGGCAATTTTGATGTTATTGGATTTGGCTCATCCTCATCTTCATCAGAGCATGCTTCTTCCTCCTCTTCTTCTGTCAAAGGTTGTTCGTCACCTGAATCCTCATTTTGGTCTGTAATACCTGATGCGTTTAAACCTGGGTTGTGTAATTCTCCCCGTCCAATTGGTGATGGTTCCTGTAAACTTTTACCAACAACACTCGAAGAAGCAACAGGCAGAGCTTCACCGGTCCCACCTTCTTCACACCTACCGCCAGGAGTACCGCACCACAGCACGCAGAGGGCACACACCAGCAGCACACGGCCAGTCATCATCATCGCCATCACTCCTGTCACTTGCGTGTAGCCTTCAGCACAAACTAACTCCCCGTCAACGCAGAGTGAAAGCAAAAAGAGAAACACGGTCGCTACAACACACAGCCACGAACCGTAACAAATGGCAGCAGCCCAGCACCAGTGAAACAGATGGAATCAGTGCGATTGCAAAACTCTCACACTGCCCCGCAATCCAGAAATTACAAAAGCAATAAAAACATTAAAACAAAGTGAACTTTGAAAACCAAGCCCAAGGCACCACTGCGCATGCTTATGAGCGTGTCTGGGATGCGTCCAACGTGACGGATGTTGGGAGCATCGCGGAGCACACAGCAGGGCAGTCAAAGCAAACAAAGCAAAACGATCCTCATCATAATTACTCTTACTTCATACATCGGACCACAGTAGACGTACACATGTCCCCGTGGCTGAGTGCTGGCACGCACAGCCCACGCTCGCTTTTAGCCCACAGCGGTGTACGCCAGCGCGGATACGGCGAGCAGCAGCGGGGCACACACCCACGCAGAGCTGCTGAGGCTGCCGTCGATTTCGCGAAGACGTGACGGTGCGCAGCTGGTCGTCGTGGTTGGCGTCTCCGTCGTAGTGGGTGCCCTTGTGGTCGTCGTCGTAGTTGTTGTAGTGGTCGTCGTGGTCGTATTTAGTGCATTTGATTCCTTATGTTGTTCATTTGACGTGTTAGTGTTCGTATTTTCAGTCTCTTCCTTAGTGGGTTGCCCTTCCTTTTCCTGTACCTTATTGGAATTACTCTTTGACTGTGCCGTTCCGTTTATTGTACCCGCTGTCTCTAACACAGGGGTCACCGTATTCGGTGCCTGCTCAGTCACTATCTTCTCCCCGTCCGTCTGTGACTGAGAAGTAGTTCTAATTGGCAATTCCGTCTCCTGACTTTTCTTCCCTCTGTTATTACCATTTGAACCAGAATTTCTTCCAGTTTTATCTTCACTCGTTTTCATGCACACGGACGGGCAGCAACACAGGGCGAGAACCAACAGGGCGCACAGCAGACGGCACGTCGTCATCATCGTGAGTGTGGTCGTTCAGTGGTGTGGAGCTGATCTGCACAGTGAGGGACATGGAGGGCAACAGGGGAGACGAGAGGTGCGGCAGACACACACGGAAGGCACACCACATGAGGAGAGAGGGCAGCAGCCAGGCATGCACCGTACGCCGCACACCACGCACGACACACACTCCAATCCACGGCAGCAGGCACACACACACACACAGCCCTGCCGCAACACCAACACACACAGATGGAAGAGGGAGAAGCAAACAGGAGCGGCACACAAGGCTCCACCGCATGTACATACGGCGAGAGCGGTCCGTCGTGTCGGCACCCCTCACGGAGGGTACGCACACGCACAAGAGAGGAGGTGCAGCGCACACGGCAACACAAAAGCAAAGTAACAATAAAAAAAGGAATGATCCCCGCACACCACGTGGATTGTTGGTCCACGGGAAGTGCAGTCGATATTCATCACGAACAATTCAGTTGCTTTTGGCCTTCGTTCATATTCGACGCACACCACCTCATGCAAGCGCAGTCACCACCGCAGCAGCGGCCGCACACGCAACAAGAAAAAGAAGCGCAACTAATGGAATAAATCAAGCAATCATTTATTTGTGTTTCTTTTTGGATGTTGGCAGATGTCTGCATGCGTTTTGTTTTTGCGGAGGGTAAACCTTCATGCCTGGGTCGTGTGTTGAGGATTCCCGCAGGGTGCATCATTATTTCTTTTCCCGTGAAATTTTCTTGTGTTGGTGCGGCCAAGAAATCGGTTCGTGTTGTTCCTGCCTTTCGCTGGTAAAGTGCTGCAATAGATGTTTGTTTTTCCTTTCTTTGCTGTGGCACCTGATTCCTCACCGTTTATTGCGGTGGAAATGAAAATATGTGAGTGGACTCCCACACGCCAGAACGCACCTTCGCTCCTATTTATTGGTGCATGGAAGGGTGTGTGTGTTTGGTGGTGTCTCGTCCATATATTTTGTGGGTGTACATTCCCCTGCAGGCTGAGGGCGGGATGACGCTCCGTCGCGGTGCACTTCCCTCGCATGCCGCCCACTGTGATTCATCATGCATCACCCCCTCACCTACTCCGTGGTGCCACACCGCTGATATTATTGCAGCCGCTGTGATTCCGCGTATTTCACGCATTCGATTGTGCCACAATACATCCGCTCGTGTGGCCGCCGCATCCAAACAGCGGTGCCCAACACCGTGAGCGGCAGTCCACATCCTTGCTTGTCCCAACGCAGTGGTGTTTGACTGTCAGCCAGGTGTCAGACAACAAGAGAGTCGTGTGCTGGCAGCACAACACACGGAGCTGCAGTGAATGACTCGGGCGGGGACGCATCTACTTGTCGCGAAGCAGTGGAAAGGAGTCGGGCAAAATGGTGCCGGCTGCATGCACGACACCATATCCACAGACAAGGCATGCGAAGTGATGTGTGTTTCACTGGTGCCGTGAAATGCCTGCAGACGACGTCACTAGTGGAGGCATGCCACCCGTGATCAGCGGACAGACAATAATCGGCATGGGAGGCCACAAAAGGCAGCAACGACGCCAGCAGCAGGATCCGCTCTCTCTCTCTCCGTTGCCTCCGAGAAGTAAATATTCCACCAGCCACAGCTGACTGTGCCATCGTGACACTCCATGCACGTCGTGGCTGCGTCAACAAATCCTGTTCCCTGCAGCGCCTCAAAAGATGCCTCACTCCGTCCACTAAGTGCATCGGTGTGGGCCGTGCCTCGGCTGTTCGTGAGGACCACAACGATGTGAGGGTCACCGAGTCGCTGCATGCTTGTTGTAACGTTGTTGCATGGCACCTGCACACACACACGCAGCGCCTGCATCCTCCCTTTTGTGTTCGCCCTCTGCCGGAGTGGCCACACACACGGGCAGCAGCAAAATCACTTCACCCTCGACGATCCAAAATCAACACCGACATCCCTCGCGACGCAAACATCTCAGTTGCCAGCACGGGCCTCCTGTCGCTCTGCCATCGACGCTGAAACACGGCACAGTGCACGCACTTATTTTCCTCGTGTTCCGTCAGCCATTTGGTACACACACTCTCCGACGGGCTGACGTCCACAAAAGCACGCCACAAAAGGCCACTGTGATCGCACACGCTCTTGCGATGAGCGTCGGTGTGTGCATGGATCCGCTGCTCACACGTGCTGGCAGGCAGCCTGCTGCCGGTGCCCTCGTGCCAGTTCATCGGCTCCAGCACGGAAAAGAGAAAACGGCCTGTTCCCGATGCACTTATTCCCACCAGCAGCACCAACACGCTGGTCGCCAGCCGTCATTCCTCAGCACATCCAGGAATGCTGAAAAGTGACGTGGAACTGTCAGCCAGCAACGCCACAATCCCCGCACACATGCCGGCTCCACCAGAGAAGACACGCAAATCACAAACAACACCCTTCAAATGTCTTCCGACCATAATTCCAACACACCGCGACACGCCAAACAGAAGTATTCGTCACTGCAATGCACCTCCCCACACAATCACATAGTCCATGCACCACGCACGGCAGCAGCTCACACGCGGTCAAACAAATTTTCGTCGGATCAGTGTTATCCACGTGCTGCAGTGGGAAGTAAACAAAAGAGACGGGCTGCCGAACCCCAAAAGAGTGCCACGACTGGCCGCAAGTCAATGGAACGCAGCCACTCAAATGAATTCAGTCCTCATGCCCTCAGCCTCCCACCTTCCCCCACAAAAGCCCCACAAAATTAACATCAAATGCACTGTTAAATAAAGCTGCCGTGCAACAAAAGAAGCCGCAGTGCCTTATGCTGTCATCCGGGGTCGTTGTCGTATTCACGAGAAGGGGCGCTAACCTTTTTTTCAAACGACGCCGCACACCCGCGACGCATCATACGGTGTGAGAGGCACGTGCCTCACCATCACCAGAGACACCCACGCGCCGTCGGTACGCACCACATCGAAAATAAAAAGGCAGGGATGCGTCAGGGTGACAGCAAAGCATCCGCTAGAAATCACATCACAGGCATCACCACGTGAAGTTGCAGCAGCGCTGCAGTCAACTGTAGGGTGACGTGCAAAAACTGACGCATAGCGTATGTGGAATGAAAAACGTGGTGGCTTGGCAAGGATACGAGCAGCAAAGACTTCCTCAACACGATAAAAACAATCTAAAAACAAAGAAAAACATTCAGTTGGTCGCAGTCAAAAAATCACAAATAAACTCAGCCTGCGGAAAGGGTGCTCTCAACCACCACACAATGAAAAACAATAAAAGAAGAAGTCGAAGCGTGGGACGACCAGCACATACACTCTCGTTGCTCCCGTAAAGCAAAACACACACATAGGGAGAGGGAGAGAGAGAGGTCGCCCACTCAATGCAATAGAAACAAAACAGAAACAGTTACGGTGCTCCGCCCATGCAGCCAGGCAGGACGGCAGCGGTGCGTGTGGTGCAAAAGAGAACACCAACGGGCCTGCATGGGTGTGCATGCATATATACAATGGGCACATTATGTGTGTGCTTCGTGGGGTGAGGTGAGGGCGAGAGTCCATGCAAGGGGACACACACACAGAGAGTGAGTGAAGGACGAGTGTGTGTGCGGGCAGTGCACGGCTCTCTCTCACTCACTCTCACGCGGTCACCACCGCAGCAGCAGCCGCACACGCAACAACAAGAAGAAGAGGGGAGGTGGTGTGGGAGATCGCGGTGCTGCCGTCACTGTCGCCATCCTTAGATGTATTTACACTTTTGAGTCTTTCAGTCCCTGCAGTATCTGAAGGCTGAACATTCTCAGTAGTATTGTTTCCAGTGAGTTTTTCCTCCTGAAGTGGAGGAATTCCATTTGAAGACGGCGTAGCTGCTCCTTCTTGACTGCCAGTTGATGTACTCTGCATTGTGGTGGCTGTAGATGCAGGATCTTCGTTACTTCTTTTAGGCGCCCCAGGTAAATTTGCGGACGCATCCATGTTCTCGCTCTCCGTCTCCTCTTTTACTGGCGTTATTACTTTGTGCTGAAGTGTGGGTTCTGGTGCTGCTGCTGCTTGTGATGATTCCGGTGGAGCCCTTCCGCTTTCTGGTAAGTTTGTACTTGGACCATCTGATGGTTCTTCTGTTCGGGAAGCTTCTAAATCCCCTTTTACCGCTATTTGTACTCCCAAAGAGCGTAAACCATCGGGACTCAACGTGGCGGCGTCGTTGTCATTTTGGCCCCCCGTTGGTGGTGGAGCAGAACTGTTTTGTCGCGATCCGTCGTTGAGTGTTTCTGCTGCCTCTCCGTCGCCTAGCTGGGCGTGTTGACTCTCCTTTGCTTGTAGTGCCATATCTTCTTTCGAAGTTTTCTCAACTGTATTGGCTGAAGTACTGACTGTAGGCCCTGTTTCACCACCAATGCGGGATGAAGAATCAACGCCAGGAGAAGAAGACCCCAAAGTAGGAATGACACCAGGACCAGCAGAAACAGATGGTGCTTTTATTCCTCCTCCTCCAGCTGGTGTTGTTGTTTCGCGTGTCTCTGTTTCTTCCTCCTCATCCTCGGCTCTTTCTTCGTTCTTTGTCTCTTTCCCACGTTCTTTTTGGTGTTCTGAATTTCCGTTTTTAGTCAACAGAGGAGCAGCTGCAGGATTATGTGGCGTCCGTTCCTTTACTGTTGTTGCATCTGCTAATCCTTGTCCTGAAGTCATCGGTGTTTCATCTTTTTTTTCGAGCAACAAATCCTCGTTATTCCATGCCTGGTCATCATTCTCCGGGGTGGCATCCCCTTCTTCAGCAGCAACAGCAGTGGCATACCGCTGATGTCTCCAACGACGACGGCCATCCACAACGGCACGCAAACCCTCCATTCCCTCAAGCACACATTCCTCAACGGTGGACGCATTCGCCCTGCCTCCTGCCCTCCTGCTGACATCCTCCGCGCATTCCCTCCGCAGCTGAGAGCGCCACTCCACAATCAAATACTCATCCACACCGGGCACTATTCCAATTTCAGGTTCCTCGGTCTCAGCAACTCCATCAATACCGCACCACAGCGCGCAGAGGACACACACCAGCAGCACACGGCCAGTCATCATCATCGCCATCACTCCTGTCACTTGCGTGCAGCCTTCAGCACAAACTAACAACACGTCAACGCAGAGCGAAGCAAAAAAGAGAGAGACAAGGCACACAGCCACGCACCGCCCCATCCAGCAGCACGAATTTCATGAGAAATATTGAACCAATGAAAGTGCAAAAAACTCACAGCGACCTGCAATAATTTAACAAGAGGAAAAACACACAAAGCAAGGAAGAAAAAAAAGAAAAGAAAACAAGCAGCAATAAAGTAAAATATTAAAAACACAAAAAAAAACCTGCGCCCAAATGGCTCCAGTGCGCATGCACCTATCCTCAACAGTGTGGCCACTTAAACTGTCGTGTGCGTCTCGTGTATATGAGTGTCTCTGGGACGCGTTCAACGTGACGGATGTGGGAAGCAACGCGGAGCACACAGCAGGGCAGCGGAAGCAAAAAAAGCAAAAAACAATCATCATAATTACTCTTACTTCATACATCGGACCACAGTAGACGTACACATGTCCCCGTGGCTGAGTGCTGGCATGCACAGCCCACGCTCCCTTTTAGCCCACAGCGGCGTACGCCAGCGCGGATACGGCGAGCAGCAGCGGGGCACACACCCACGCAGAGCTGCTGAGGCTGCCGTCGATTTTACGAAGACGTGACGGTGCGCGGGTGGTCGTCGTGGTTGGCGCCTCTGCACTGTTGACCGCATCACTTGGTGCCTCTGGCGCGGCGGTGGTCGTAGTCGTAGTCGTAGTTGTGGTTGGTGCCTTTGTGGTTTTGGTCGTTATGGTCGTTGATGCAGTCGTCTCCTTTTCCTGTTCTTTTTCGGGTAAAATCGGCCCACTTTGTGCACCTGACGTAACGGTTGTTGCAGTAGGTGGCTGTAGCGGAACGCTAGGACTTTGTAACTGTGACTGACCAGGCGCACCTGAAGCACCTTGATTGTTTGACGCCCCACCGGATACCGTACCTTGTGTTTCTTCCTTACCGGTCACAATAACTGGTTTCTCTACTCCTCTGCCTTGTTCCACTTCTTTTTTAACTGGCAGCTGTGCCCCTGGTACCTTTGCCACATCGGGAGCCACCTGTTCGTCGACACCATTAGCTTTTACGCACACGGACAGGCAGCAGCACAGGGCGAGCACCAACAGGGCGCACAGCAGACGGCACGTTGTCATCGTGAGTGTGGTCGTTCAGTGGTGTGGAGCTGATCTGCACAGTGAGGGACATGGAGGGCAACAGGGGAGACGAGAGGTGCGGTAGACACACACAGAGGGCACACCACATGAGGAGAGGGCAGCAGCCAGGCATGCACCGTACGCCGCACACCACGCACGACACACACTCCAATCCACGGCAGCAGGCACACACACACACACAGCCCTGCCGCAACACCAACACACAGATGGAAGAGGGAGAAGCAAACAGGAGCGGCACACAAGGCTCCACCGCATGTACATACGGCGAGAGCGGTCCATCGTGTCTGCACCCCTCACGGAGGGTGCGCACACACACACGAGAAGGTGCAGCGCACACGGCAACGAAAAAGCAAAGTAACAATTAAAAGGGAAAGATCCCCGCACACCACGTGGATTGTTGGTCCACGGGAAGTGCAGCCAATATTCATCACAAAGCAACTTGTTATCTTGTTTTAGTTGGACGCTGCTAAAGTAAAGAGTGAGTACCGCAAGGGCCGTCCGTACAAAAGTGGCAATTATTCCGTCGCATACGGGCCGTCGTGCATGCTGGGCAGTCCCAAACAGTCGCAGTCCTTACTCTCAACGACGAAGGCATTCCCACAGTGGATGAGGCGGAGTCTCCTGTGGTCCATCGGGGATCAGCAGCCCGTGGCGTCTGTGATGAGGCGGTGGCGGAAGCGCCCGGCCCATCTCGAGTACCCGCGTTTGTGCTTCCTGCGTGTGTTGCCTGCTGGCATGCCTGGCGACTTCGGTGGCGACCTGCGCGCGAGGCGCCTGTTAAGAAGACGGTGAAACAATCGCGGCATCCGCATGTGAGGCTTTCTCCAACCATTATGACGCCAGGCTGAGCATGTCGAGCATGTGTCCTCACATTGTGGACAGACAAGCGCGCTGTGCCGCAGGTTGGGCAGGACGACTTCAATCCGCCGCTCGCCTGTCAGCAAGGAGTTGCGGCGCTCACTTCGGGAAGAGGTTCCGGCTGAGGCAGAGGCGAGCCGTTCACCTCAGTGAGGGAGGGACGGCGCCACCGACACACAAAGGGAGTTACTTGTGATCCGCAGGGCGCGTGCAGGCCTGTCGAAGAGTGAGCAGGAGTCGCATCGCGCCTGCGCGCAGTGCCGCCACTCGGGGCGCGATGTCGGGGTCAACGCCAGGAATAGAGTCCTCGCCAAACCGTCAAGCGCCTGGCGTGCGGTGTGCGCGGCTCCCTTTTCCTCCTGCACATCCTTCTGGTTCGGTCGCCGGACTGCAGTGAGGAAGCCCACGTGCCAGGCATTGACGCAGTCCTGCGGGAGGGATCGTGCCATGATGGCGTCAGCGTCCGCTGTCACGTTGCGTGGGATTCCGCAGTGTCATGGGAAAAAGTGGAGAAAACAGTGCGACCTCAATCCGCCAGTGGAAGCGGCACGGCACAAATCTCCTCGCCGACGTCGTCGTGCTCCGCCAGCGGGCCAAGGCGGAGCGACTCCATCGTCGAGAGGGAGTCTGTGGCGGTAGGAACTCGTGCGGGCGATTGGGATGCCGCCGCCAGACGGGGAACTGGGAAGTGTCTGTGGCCATGCTCAGTGGCAGGACGCTCCGCTCGGCAGGAGCATGCAAGGCTGTCAGCAGCTGCGCGGTGATGCCCCACAGGCAGCTCGGCTGTCCGGGGAGTCAAGTGGCATTGCAGCGGATCCAGTTGCATGCTGAGCAAGAGACAACGTGCCGTCCGGGGCGTCTTGGGCGTGCCGTGGCTGGAAGACGCTCACCCCGTCGCAGCTCACAGTGTCGCAGACGAAAATTCGCTGCTCAGCATGAGAAACGCGGGTGTGGTGCGGGAAGACCCCCATGTGGCAGCAGACGCGTCGCATTTCGTCAAGTACGGCATCTCTTGGCAGCAGAATACTCGTCAGTGCATTCCCATGCGTCGGCGGCGGCATGGTTTCCAAGCAGATTGCGCCACGCACGTCCTCAATATACCAGAGAAGAGTGAGGCGTTCGTGCTGTGTGGGTTCGAGGAACCCAATGATCCTCCGCAGCGGTGCCGGATTGGCGGTCAGGTGAACAGAAGCATCCTTCGCTGATACGCGTGGGACGAGCGATGCCGTGCAGCTGTCGCCGCGCCTAACTTCCAGGCTGTGGAGGTGAGTGGGGGCCAGACACGGTGCGATTGCCTCACCGCCGTGCTGCGACGCACTGTGGACGCATCCAACCAGAAAGTAACGCATGGTGTGTTGCTGCGACGCCCAATCTCCTGCGACCAGCCGCGGCTGATGGCGACGCGGCACTGTCTGCATTTCGGTCTGGTTAAAGATTTTTTTTTTCATTCCCATTGTGGTGCGTGACGACGGCGCGTGAGCTTTTCCAAAGGACACGCTGCAGGCACACAGCGTCGTTTGGAAAAAAGGATTAGCGTCCGTCACCGTGAAGGCATCATCAACGGTCCCGGATGGCAGCAGGAGGCACTGCGGCTTCTTTTGTTGCACAGCGACTTTATTTGTCAGAGTGCATGATTTTATTCTCTTACAGCTTTTGTGAGGGAAGGTGGGAAGCTGAGGGCATGAGGACTGAATACTTTTGAGTGGCTGCGTTCCGTTGGCATGTGGCCAGTCGTGGCACTCCTTTGGGGTTCGGCAGCCCGTCTCTTTTGTTTACTTCCCACTGCAGCACGTGGATAACACTGCTCCGAAGAACATTTGTTTAGACGCGTGTGAGCTGCTGCCGTGCGTGGTGCATGGAATATTTGATTGTGTGAGGAGGTGCATTGCAGTGACGAATACTTCTGTTTGGCGTGTCGCGGTGTGTTGGAATTATGGTCGGAAGACATTTGAAGGGTGTTGTTTGTGATTTGCGTGTCTTCTCTGGTGGAGCCGGCATGTGTGCGGGGATTGTGGCGTTGCTGGCTGACAGTTCCACGTCACTTTTCAGCATTCCTGGATGTGCTGAGGAATGCCGGCTGGCGACCAGCGTGTTGGTGCTGCTGGTGGGAATAAGTGCATCGGGAACAGGCCATTTTCTCTTTTCCGTGCTGGAGCCGATGAACTGGCACGAGGGCACCGGCAGCAGGCTGCCTGCCAGCACGTGTGAGCAGCGGATCCATGCACACACAGACGCTCATCCCAAGAGCTTGTGCGATCACAGTGGCCTTTTGTGGCGTGCTTTTGTGGGCGTCAGCCCGTCGGAGAGTGTGTGTACCAAATGGCTGACGGAACACGAGGAAAATAAGTGCGTGCACTGTGCCGTGTTTCAGCGTCGATGGCAGAGCGACAGGAAGCCCATGCTGGCAACTGAGATGTTTGCGTCGCGAGGGATGTCGGTGTTGATTTTGGATCGTCGAGGGAGAAGTGATTTTGCTGCTGCCCGTGTGTGTGGCCACTCCGGCAGAGGGCGAACACAAAAGGGAGGATGCAGGCGCTGCGTGTGTGTGTGCAGGGGCCATGCAACAACGTTACAACAAGCATGCAGCGACTCGGTGACCCTCACATCGTTGTGGTCCTCACGAACAGCCGAGGCACGGCCCACACCGATGCACTTAGTGGACGGAGTGAGGCATCTTTTGAGGCGCTGCAGGGAACAGGATTTGTTGACGCAGCCACGACGTGCATGGAGTGTCACGATGGCACCGTCTGCTGTGGCTGGTGGAATATTTACTTCTCGGAGGCAACGGAGAGAGAGAGCGGATCCTGCTGCTGGCGTCGTTGCTGCCTTTTGTGGCCTCCCATGCCGATTATTGTCTGTCCGCTGATCACGGGTGGCATGCCTCCACTAGTGACGTCGTCTGCAGGCATTTCACGGCACCAGTGAAACACACATCACTTCGCATGCCTTGTCTGTGGATATGGTGTCGTGCATGCAGCCGGCACCATTTTGCCCGACTCCTTTCCACTGCTTCGCGACAAGTAGATGCGTCCCCGCCCGAGTCATTCACTGCAGCTCCGTGTGTTGTGCTGCCAGCACACGACTCTCTTGTTGTCTGACACCTGGCTGACAGTCAAACACCACTGCGTTGGGACAAGCAAGGATGTGGACTGCCGCTCACTGCGTTGGGCACCGCTGTTTGGATGCGGCGGCCACACGAGCGGATGTATTGTGGCACAATCGAATGCGTGAAATACGCGGAATCACAGCGGCTGCAATAATATCAGCGGTGTGGCACCACGGAATATGTGAGGGGGTGATGCATGATGAATCACAGTGGGCGGCATGCGAGGGAAGTGCACCGCGACGGAGCGTCATCCCGCCCTCAGCCTGCAGGGGAATGTACACCCACAAAATATATATGGACGAGACACCACCAAACACACATGCCCTTCCATGCACCAATAAATAGGAGCGAAGGTGCGTTCTGGCGTGTAGAAGTCCACTCACATATTTTCATTTCCACCGCAATAAACGGTGAGGAATCAGGTGCCACAGCAACGAAAGGAAAAACAAACATCTATTGCAGCACTTTACCAGCGAAAGGCAGGAACAACACGAACCGAATTCTTGGCCGCACCAACACAAGAAAATTTCACGGGAAAAGAAATAATGATGCACCCTGCGGGAATCCTCAACACACGACCCAGGCATGAAGGTTTACCCTCCGCAAAAACAAAACGCATGCAGACATCTGCCAACATCCAAAAAGAAACACAAATAAATGATTGCTTGATTTATTCCATTAGTTGCGCTTCTTTTTCTTGTTGCGTGTGCGGCCGCTGCTGCGGTGGTGACTGCGCTTGCATGAGGTGGTGTGCGTCGAATATGAACGAAGGCCAAAAGCAACTGAATTGTTCGTGATGAATATCGACTGCACTTCCCGTGGACCAACAATCCACGTGGTGTGCGGGGATCATTCCTTTTTTTATTGTTACTTTGCTTTTGTGTTGCTGTGTGCGCTGCACCTCCTCTCTTGTGCGTGTGCGTACACTCCGTGAGGGGTGCAGACACGATGGACCGCTCTCGCCGTATGTACATGCGGTGGAGCCTTGTGTACCGCTCCTGTTTGCTTCTCCTCTTCCATCTGTGTGTTGGTGCTGCGGCAGGGCTGTGTGTGTGTGTGTGCCTGCTGCCGTGGATTGGAGTGTGTGTCGTGCGTGGTGTGCGGCGTACGGTGCATGCCTGGCTGCTGCCCTCTCCTCATGTGGTGTGCCCTCTGTGTGTGTCTGCCGCACCTCTCGTCTCCCCTGTTGCCCTCCATGTCCCTCACTGTGCAGATCAGCTCCACACCACTGAACGACCACACTCACGATGATGACGTGCCGTCTGCTGTGCGCCCTGTTGCTGCTTCGCCCTGTGCTGCTGCCTGTCCGTGTGCGTGACAGCGGTTGAAGTTGATCTTCCTGAACTCAGTCCGGACTCCGGTCCAGAAAAGGGACCAGTTGGGGCGGAAGTTAATCAGAAGGGAACAGAAGTGGACCGAGGACTGAGGAAAGATGCGCCAAAGTATCAAGCTGGGAAGGATATGCAAAACATACAAGGTTCGCCAGCCGTTTCGGAAGAGGAACAAGATGATGATAAGGGTCCTGGTTTAAATCTCTCTGGGCCGAACGCAGCAGTTTCAACCAATAATTCAGATTTAAAAGGTTTGGAAACCACCATCCCAATGGTATCAAGTCAGACGATCGGTACTTCAAGGAGAAAAAGTTTGTCCCATGCTCAGGGGGTGGTGGGTGATACAGTCGGTACCGCAAATGGATCAAAAGAGAAGCTTCCTGAGCCAGAAACACAAGGTATGGTGACTGTGGCAGGGTTACAAGCTCCGACACAGGCAAAGGAAACCGTTGGAACTAAATCCCCAAATGAATCAGAAGGAGTGGCAGATGCGCCAATTACCACGACGAGCACCAATAGTACAACGGCATCAGAGTTACAGGTCCAAAGCAAAAAAGAGGAGGAAATAGTTATTACGAACGGTAGGGAAAACACACAAAGTACGGTGTTCAGTGGGGCGTCCAACAGTCAAGTTGCATCAATTGCGTCTGGTCATTCAGGATCACAAGTTCCTGGCGTTCTGCTAAAGCGACCTACTTCACAAACCGTTAAGTCAAGGGCACAAAGTGTGACAATTCATTCCGAAAACAGACAAGAAACGAAGACCATTGCATTGAAGACCACGACGACTACAGATGCACAAACTAAGATGACCAGCCGTGCACCGTCACGTCTTCGCGAAGTCGACGGCAGCCTCAGCAGCTCTGCGTGGGTGTGTGCCCCGCTGCTGCTCGCCGTATCCGCGCTGGCGTGCACCGCTGTGGGCTGAAAGGGAGCGTGGGCTGTGCGTGCCAGCACTCAGCCACGGGGACATGTGTACGTCTACTGTGGTCCGATGTATAAACTAAGAGCAATTATGATGATTGTTTTTTGCTTTGTTTGCTTCCGCTGCCCTGCTGTGTGCTCCGTGTTGTGCACAACATCCGCCACGTTGAACGCGTTCCAGACACACCCATTTGCACGACATGCACACAACTTTTTACTTGGATGCACTGTTGAAAATGGGTGTAAGCGCACTGGAGCCATTTGGGCGCAGGTTTTTGTTTTTACTATTTTGCTTCATTGCTGCTTGTTTTCTTTTGTTTTGTTTCTTCCTTGCTTTGTGTGTTTTTCTTCTTGTTAAATTATTGCAGGTCGCTGTGCGTTTTTTGCACTTTCATTGGTTCAATATTTCTTATGAAACGCGTGCTGCTGCCGGTGGTGTTTTTTACTGTGCCTTGTCTCTCCTTTTGCTCTGCGTTGACGGGAGTTAGTTTGTGCTGAAGGCTACACGGAAGTGACAGGAGTGATGGCGATGATGATGACTGGCCGTGTGCTGCTGGTGTGTGCCCTCTGCGTGCTGTGGTGCGGTGCCGGCGGTAGGTGTGACGGGGATGCTGATTTTGCTGAAATAAAAGATGAACCATCGAAGGCTTCACAATCTTCATCTCAAGGTGGTCATGCAGGAGAAAAGCATATGCCAAACCCAATCGTTGGAGTGGTGAACACCTCAAATGAACTGTTAAATGAGCAGGACGGTAAGAATGGCAGCCCTCAAACAGGTTCTGTCGAACAGCCGTCAACAGATAATGACGGGATGGAAGCAGAGGGAGAAAAAGCAAAAGGAAAAAAAGTTGAAGATGCAGAACCAAGAAGAAATGGAAAGGAACAATCGCAAGATGATTCAGAAAGAACAGAGGAACGCGAAGCCCTAATAGAAGAAGAAAGGAACACATCTCCACCAACAGTAGCAAATAAGTTGGTAACAAGTGAAGAAGGAGCAGGACCAGCAGCGGGAAATGCAGGGCCAAGGGTTCAAGCAGTAAAACCACCGCAATTACCAGCATCACCACAAGCATCAGATGAAACTCAATCCGGTGACAGTTCTGTTGGAGGTCCTAAGAAAGATAAAGGTTCCAATTTGAATAATTCTGCTTCTGACAGTGGCAATCCATCTCCTGTTGACAGTTTGTTTTCCGGTGGTGGAAGTAGTGGACTAGGCGGTGGCAGTCCTCAAGATGACTCTTCGGATTCTCCTCTTTCTGCGGCTGTCCTTTCTTTATCTTCCCCCCTTGGTACACCATCTGTTCAGGACACACAACCTTCAGAAAAGGTTCGGCAGTCGGAAACAATTTCTTCTGAGACCGCGTTTCCCAACGAGCAGCCAAAGGAGAGATCAGAATCCGAAGCAAAAGAAGGCACTTTTACTTCACAAGAAGCAGCAGAAAGTCCATATGGTGATGGGGATGCAACTGAAAACGAGAAAGAGAAGAGAGACGTGGGACTGAAATCCACTACAAGCCCAACCCCTACTACCAGCGACCCACCAGTAAAACAAACAACTCCACGAGCATCTTCCGCAGAGCCATCACCAACAACGGAAGTTCAAGCAGAAGAAGAAACCTTAAAAGATAACGTCACCACCGCCATGAGAAATGACACGGCGATACCTGGCGACAGTGACGGCAGCACTGCAGTCTCCCACACCACTTCCCCTCTTTTGCTTCTTCTTTTCCTTGTTGCGTGTGCGGCTGCGGCTGCGGTGGTGGCCGCGTGAGAGTGAGGGAGAGAGCGCCATGCACTGCCCGCACACACACTCGTCCTTCACTCTCTGTGTGTGTCCCCTTGCATGGACTCTTGCCCTCACCTCATCCCACGAAGCACACACATAATGTGCCCATTGTATATATGCATGCACACCCATGCAGGCCCGTTGGTGCTCTCTTTTGCACCACACGCACCGCTGCCGTCCTGCCTGGCTTCATGGGCGGAGCACCGTAACTGTTTCTGTTTTGTTTCCATTGCTTTGAGTGGGCGACCTCTCTCTCTCCCTCTCTCCCTGTGTGTGTGTTTTGCTTTACGGGAGCAATGAGAGTGTGTGTGCTGGTCGTCCCACGCTTCGGCTTCTTGTTTTTTGTTTTCTTATTGTTTGTGTTGTGGTTGAGAGCACCCATTCCGCGGGCTGCGTGTGTGTGTGTGTGTGTGTGTGTGATGAAATGAGTGATTTGCGTGTGTGCTATCCGCTTCTTTCTGCCGTTGGTTTCTTTGGACTCTCTTTTCCTGCACAGCTGCTCTGCAAGTGTAGGCTTTGACAAACATACACACAGACAATTGCCATGCCGCTCATGCTGTGGAGTGACATGAGTGCTGAGAACGCACGTACAAGATTCTGGCTGCGGCGGCTCTTGCGAGTTAGGAGGTCGTGAGCCCGCAATGCGTCTCGGCGGCGTGGTGCGGTTGTGATGTTGGCAGTGTGCTGTCAGTGAGTGTTGTGGCATTTTGGGTGTCTGGGATGAGTGCCTATTGACTTTTTCCCAACAGCTGTTCCTGCCAACGTGTCTCCGCCGTTGTGGATTCGGCGACGGAGGATTCTCCGGCCGTGTGGAATGATGTGCGGGTGCGTTGGAAGAGACAAAAGTAAAACGACTGGTGGCAGCGCGTGGGTGCTGCGAGAGGGTGGCTGTGCTTTTTTGCATCCCAATGGTTGTGTTTTTGCGTGGGCGTTGTTCGGTATCTGCTGACATGTGACGAATAACGACGCACACGCCGTGGCTGCTGCTGCTGGCGGTGGCAGTCGCTGTGTGTTCCCGGTGCACTGTTCTTCCATCTCCTGTTCCGTGTGTCTGTGTGCATGAGTTGTTGTTGGGAGTGACTGCGGCGGGGATGATGGTGCCACTCACTGTGGATGGGTGGCGGTGCTCACTGTTTCACCTCTTTTCTTGGCGTGTTTTCTCTCTATTTCTCTATCAATCACACACGAAGAAGGAAAAAAAGCGCTAATCGCTACTGTAAAATTCGAAGGCTCTGAAAGGACCAACAGCACACACACCGCCCACACACATATTTACATGCACTCACGTGTTGCTGCAGTGAAGGCACCCCGCACACACAACCGTCGCCGCGTGACCGGATCCAGCGGAAGGAGGAGGGAAGGAAGAGAGAGTGAGCCGCAGAGGCCCAACATATCCCGGCATCTCTTTTATTCAGTGGTGCTGCTGCTCCTCCTCGTGATGTGGATGTGCTGCGGCACTGGGGGTGCATCCAGTAAGGAGAAGTCGCCAGCACAGATACCTCCACCAAAGACATATTTTGATTGGAGGGATGCGAAAGTTGAAGAAACAGTGAGTTCGCTCCGTGTTCCCAGTCTTGTTGGGATGAATGGTGATGTGTTTGCCGTTGCCGAGGCGCAGTGCACGGGAAAAAAAGATACTGGTGAAGGCAGTTTTACTGGGATTGCCTCGGGACTCCTGACGTTGACTGGCGAAAACCCAAAAGAGGAGTTAGATAAAACTAAACTGAAGACACAAGTACTGGAGGAATGTCCTTTTGAAGGTGGCAATTGCCCCTCCCAAAACGCTGCTAACGAAGGTGATTCCCAAAGCGAAACGAAAGTACATGTGAGCCGGCCAACAACGGTTGTGGAGGGAGGCGATATTTACATGCTTGCTGGGAAATACAGCAATAAAGGTGCCTCTGATGATCAGGCAGGTGACTGGGGACTTTTGCTGGTGAGAGGGAACGTCAGTGGTGAGGAAAGAAAGGACAAAAGAATTTATTGGAGAGATACTTACGGTCTCCCGTGGGCCTTTTTTGTAAAACAACACGAATCCTTGACACGGCTGATTGGAAGCGGTGGATCGGGTGTTAAGATGAAGGACGGTCCATTTGTGTTCCCAGTGGAAGGGATGAAGAACAATGGGAAGACCGTTTCGCTGATTATATATTCCTCAGACATTGCGAGTTGGAAGCTGTCGAAGTGGATGTCTGACGATGGCTGCAGTGATCCCTCCGTTGTGGAGTGGAAGGGAAAACTCATGATGATGACTGCGTGTGATGATGGCCGCCGCAGGGTGTACGAGTCCGGTGACAAGGGAGATTCGTGGACGGAGGCACTCGGGACACTCTCGCGCGTGTGGGGCAACAAAAAGGGTGAAAAGGTTGAAATCGTTAGGAGCGGGTTCATCACAGCGACGATTGAGGAAAGGGACGTGATGCTTGTTACTCTGCCGGTGTATTCTAAGGAGGTCGATAAAGAAGACAATCGAAAGAGTGAACTTCATCTTTGGCTGACGGACAATACGCACATTGTCGATATTGGGCCGGTATCCGGTGAGGAAGAAGCCGTTGCCGCCAGCTCCCTGTTGTAAAAAAGTGCTGGAGGTGGAGATACTAATAATGAGGAGTTGATTGCACTGTACGAGAAGAAAAGGGGCAATGAAGAATCATCTTACGGTATGGTCTCTGTGCGTCTGACTGCGCAGCTGGAGCGGGTGAAGGAGGTGCTGAAGACGTGGAAGAAAGTGGACGAACGTGTCTCCAGTCTGTGCCCTTCTGAGAGCGCTGCGAAGGATACCCCACCCGACAATGTCTGCCGCTCTACCATGCCGACGGATGGGCTGGTTGGCTTTTTGTCCGGCAACTTCTCTGATAACACATGGATGGACGAGTACCTCGGGGTGAACGCCACAGTAACGGGTGCTGCAACAAAGGCAGCAGGGCCTGTCGACGGCGTGACGTTCACGGGGCGTGGTGCAGGAGCGGAGTGGCCCGTTGGCAGGCAGGGGGAGAATCAGCTGTACCACTTTGCGAACTACAACTTCACTCTTGTGGCGACGGTGTCCATCGACGGTGAGCCAGAGGGAGATACTCCCATTCCAGTGATGGGTGTGAAGATGAATGGCGATGAAGGAGGATCCAAACTTATGGAGTTCTCGTACAGCAGCGAAAAGAAGTGGAAATTGCTTTGTAGTGGCAAGACAACTACGGAGCACAGCAGGACTTGGGATCCAGAGACAACACACCAGGTGGCCATTGTGCTACAGAACGAAAAACAGGGCTCCGCTTACGTCGATGGTCAGCGTGTGGGGAATGCGCAATGTGAATTCGATAATGCGGATTCGAAAGGGATCTCCCACTTCTACATTGGAGGGGATGGAGGCAGCGCAGACGACACAAGAAGCCAAGAAGAATTGTCCGTGACGGTGACGAATGTCCTGCTGTACAACCGCCCGTTGACTGACACAGAGATTGCAGGGCTTGCCAAAAATACAATTACTATTCCGAAGCCGGAGGGTCCGAAGAGATCGGTGGTGGATACTCAATCACCAGCGACAAGTGGACCAGATTTGGAGGGAACCGTGTCCTTGTCCAATTCTGCCGGGCAACGGCCGTTGGAAGAGGAACCGTTGAAGGCGAATTTTCGTGGTGACGGTGTATCCAGTGCAGCTTTCTTTGCCACGACTCCCTCGTCTGATGCTGCTCAAGCGGTGGCGACAGGGAGTGGAGATACGATGCGGGGAAATGGATCACCCCAAACTCCTGAGGTGAGCGTGAGCTCTGGCGGGCATGAGGAGACGGCGGGAGGAACGGATGTGCAGGGAGAGGAGGAGGTTATTACACAGGTCGGGGACGTAAATGCTACGGCACTCACCAGCAGCCTCGGAAATGTGTCGCAGGGGAATAACAGTGATGCTGGCACTGTGCGTGGGAGCGGACTGCTGCCATCGCTGCTGCTCCTTCTGTTGGGACTGTGGGGGTTTGCGGCTCTGTGAGGAGTGACTGGCTGCCGCGTGGAGCATTTGCGACCTCCCCTGCACAGAATTACCCCATGGGAACAAATTTCTCTCATAAAACGTTTAATTCATTTTTCCGTATTTTAAATTAATTTTTTTGTTTGCTGCTTTTTTTCAAAATTCTTTTGTGTGTTTTTAATTTTTTTAAATACCTCATCCCCCATCCCTCCTTTTTGCTTTTGGGGGCAATCACTATGGACGTTTTTTTTCTTTTCTACTCTTCCCTCTTTTCAATTGTTTCCTGCTGCACTCTTCCTGTGAGGGGTGCCGTGTGTTTCCGCCCAACTGCTCTACTCGCACACCCACCGACACGCTCATGACGACGGCCCTGTGCGCCTCGCCTGCTGCACGCATGAGGAGGGGCCGCGACGAACGGCGCGCTGAGGGAGCCGTGACGTGTGGGCGTGCGACGAGGGCCTGTGGGGCGGAGCACACATTTCTTTCCCTCTTGTTTTGTTTTGTTTGCGGCCAGGGCGGGCAGACACCCGCAGCGCCACACACACACAGCCACACCCTGCCGCCGTGTTTTCTTTTCGTTTTGTTTTCTTTTCGTGTTCATTTCACGCGCTGGCACTCCCGTCAGCATTTCTCTCCCTCCTGATGATTTTTCTTTTTTTGCTGCGCTCACTCTCCCGATGGAGAGACGCGACTCCCGTCATGTCTGCGTGCTTCTCTCAGTCCCCACACACACGAGTGACTGTGCTCTGCGGGCCGCACTCGCACGCCGATGAGAGGGCTGAGGGGAGCAGCAAAACGCAGATGACTCCATGAAATATAAACGATGTGCGGACACATGGAGGGTCAGACGGTTGAAGCACACGCAACCATGTTTTTAATTTTCTTTTGCCCGCAAAATATATACAGACAGTTTGGTGTGGCCACACGGCAGCCAGGCGATTTTTAAATTTGTGTGGAACAGTAATGGACGATTTCTTTTTCATTTATAATTATTTTGTGTGATGGGGTTTATATAAGACGAAGGGGAACGTTTTCTTTTTTTTTTTTAATAAATCGTGTGTGGATTGCCACTGCTTGGGCTGCAGTGCAGTCATGAGTTTGAGCGGTCTTCTTCTTGCTGTTTCCGCCATGCGTCTCTGCTGTACAGTTTTTTGTTGTGCGTCTCTCCACATACTCTGCTCCCTCTTTTCTACTTCTTTGCTTTGTGTTTCCGCAGGCACACACAACCACACACACAGAAGATGCACATTGCAGTGGATTTGAATGCTCCTTTTGTAGTGCATGCTGGCAGTTGCGTGTGGCGGCTGTTGTCTTCTTCCGTGGCTATGAGGAGAAGGGAGAGGGAGTGCGCAGCCCGAGTCTCTTTTCCTGCGGGTGTGATGCACCGCGTGTGACTGCGTTGAGTTGGACTCCGTGTCCCATTGAGGGCGGGATGGCTGGAATTTTGTGCCGCGTCATGGATGGATGAGGGTTCGCTTCCGCTTGTGACTGGTGTGGTGGGTGCTCGCTCCGTGTGCGTTGTGTGGTGGCCGCGGGTTTTTGCCATTTCCCTGGGGCTGTAGCGATGAGCTGGGGGAGATGGTGGTGGATGTCTTCTCCTCCTGCATGGTGGGTGGCTGCTGGCGTTGTGTGCCTTCCTTGCGTGGATGCCCTCTCGTGGTGTGTGAACTGTGCGGCTGGGCCTGCTGCCCTCTCCTCATGTTGTCTGCTCTCTCTCGCTGTATCCGCTGCACTCCGTCCCTCTCCCTCCTGTTCCATCCCTTTTCCTTCTGGCTCACGGATCGGCTGACTGACTCCAGCGACTCCTACGGGTGATGGTGACTGCGATGGTGACGATGGTGACGGTGTGGCTCCGTGTGGTGTGCGCCGTGTTGGTCCTTGCGCTCTCGTACTGCTGCTGCACGTCCGTGTGCGTGACGGTCGCTGGTGGAGGTAATGACTCCCACACAATCGCCAGTACTCCAGAGGGATCACGTGGGACCACTACGCCAGGGTCAAGAAGCTTGGGAAGCGGTGCGGAACAGTCACAAGGTGCTTCCGGTGTGGAAGGGCCTCAAGGTTGAGCGGCAGGTGTAGGAAACAAAACCACTGAGAATGCAGAGACTAAACATTTTGGTACGGCAAAGGAAAAAAAATGTGGCTGACGTTAAGGTACAGGCAAAAACGACGACAACTACAACAGAGGCACCAACTACGACGACCACCCGCGCACCGTCACGTCTTCGCGAAATCGACGGCAGCCTCAGCAGCTCTGCGTGGGTGTGTGCCCCGCTGCTGCTCGCCGTATCCGCGCTGGCGTACGCCGCTGTGGGCTAAAAGGGAGCGTGGGCTGTGCGTGCCAGCACTCAGCCACGGGGACATGTGTGCGTCTACTGTGGTCCGATGTATGAAGTAAGAGTAATTATGATGATTGTTTTTTGCTTTGTTTGCTTCCGCTGCCCTGCTGTGTGCTCCGCGATGCTCCCAACATCCGTCACGTTGGACGCATCCCAGACACGCTCATAAGCATGCGCAGTGTTGCCTTGGGCTTGGTTTTCAAAGTTCACTTTGTTTTAATGTTTTTATTGCTTTTGTAATTTCTGGATTGCGGGGCAGTGTGAGAGTTTTGCAATCGCACTGATTCCATCTGTTTCACTGGTGCTGGGCTGCTGCCATTTGTTACGGTTCGTGGCTGTGTGTTGTAGCGACCGTGTTTCTCTTTTTGCTTTCACTCTGCGTTGACGTGTTGTTAGTTTGTGCTGAAGGCTGCACGCAAGTGACAGGAGTGATGGCGATGATGATGACTGGCCGTGTGCTGCTGGTGTGTGCCCTCTGCGTGCTGTGGTGCGGTGCCGGCGGTAGATGTGCCGAAGAGAAGGCGGATGAATTTCTTGTCACCGAACCCGGCGGTTCTTTGAGTGGTGGTGACAGTTCACCGAAACAATCAAGAAATTCATCTCCAGTACCAGGCTCCTTAGTTTCACCACCAAAACCACAAAAAGATGACAATTCTGAAAATCTACATGCAAAAGAATCTTTGGAACCTGAAGAAGGAATCCCGTTGAAACCCCAAGAGGGGGAAAACAAGACGCAGGTACCACAAGATGGTGTACGGAACGGAAATCAATCAATACCGCATGAACAATCACCAAATCAGGCTCTACCACCACCACCACCACATCAACCACCATCTGTTGGAAGTGATGCTGTTTCTCCTGGTGGTTCTTCTGTTGGTGGTAAGGATCCTTTGGGTTCCTCTTCCTCTGGAGTTATTTCTTCGCCTCACGGTGGTGGTGACAGGGGGACCACAGGCAGTATTCTATCCAATGCTCCGAGTTCATTCCCAAAAGGAGTTTTGCTAGCAGAAGAAGCAGAGACTGAGCACCACTCGCTGCCCAATGAAAATGCAGCAGAACGCGGCAACGTTGGCAGGGCCGCTGCACCGGGGAGCGAAGGTCCATCCCCTCTGGAAGAGCGAAGGACGCAAGACGGGAAATCAGAGGCTCACCAAACAGAAGAATCATCGGAGGATCTGAATAAACAACCACAAGGCAATGGAAAGGTCCAAAATGAATCACCAAACGCAGATACGCCACGGCTCCAGACTCCACATGGAGGAAAACCACCAGAAACAAAAGGGAATAACAGCCATAACACCGATATATCTACGAATTTGCCCGATGCGCAAGAACCAGAATACGTGAAAGAAAACAAGAACGAAAATCCGGCATCCATCCCAGATAAAGCGCAGGGGACATCCACTGGCATTCAAGAAGAAGCACCGGCTTCGCATCCAAATGTAAGTCCTTCTCCACTTCAACAGGAAAACTTCAGTGGAATGAAGACAACTGAAAATGTTCAACCTCCGGATGCTGCCGCGACAGAAAAACGCCAAACCGGCGATAATGAAAAGGTTGGCGACAGTGACGGCAGCACCGCTGTCTCCCACACCACCTCCCCTCTTTTGCTTCTTCTTCTTGTTGTTGCGTGTGCGGCTGCTGCTGCGGTGGTGGCCGCGTGAGAGTGAGTGAGAGAGAGCCGTGCACCGCCCGCACACACAATCGTCCTTCTCTCTCTCTGTGTGTGTGTCCCCTTGCATGGACTCTCGCCCTCACCTCACCCCACGAAGCACACACATAATGTGCCCATTGTATATATGCATGCACACCCATGCAGGCCCGTTGGTGCTCTCTTTTGCACCACACGCACCGCTGCCGTCCTGCCTGGCTGCATGGGCGGAGCACCGTAACTGTTTCTGTTTTGTTTCCATTGCTTTGAGTGGACGACCTCTCTCTCTTTCTCTCCCTGTGTGTGTGTGTTTTGCTTTACGGGAGCAATGAGAGTGTGTGCGCTGGTCGTCCCACGCTTCGGCTTTTTGTTTTGTTTTTTCTTTTTGATTCTCTGCTTGTGTTGTGGTTTATTGCACCCATTTTACTTTTCTTTGATTGGCGGCATGCTGTGACAGCGGACAATTTAGTCTTCTCTTCTTATATTCTCATATTGTTTCATTGTTTCAAAGGTGTCACCCTCTTGTATTCTTCTCGGGCCACTAGGTTTTCTATACGCGTGCCATGCGTCAGTTGATCCACGTCACCCCGCAGCCACCAGCGCTGCTGTTACTTCTGCTTGTGATGATGTCTGTGATGTGCTGTGCATGCGGGTGCTTTGCTGCCAGCCTGACGTATCCTTTCTCCCTCTGACAAGGCGATGCGTGCCGCCAGCGCGAGGTCGATCTCGGCTGTGGTGAGGGACGTGTCCTTTTGGAGCAGAGGATGCGTCGCAGGCACACACCGTCTTTGGGAGGAATGGATGGGCGCCTATCCGCATCAATGTTTCGACAAGGGACCTGGATGATGCCAGGAAGTATTGCAGCTCACAGCGGCATTACGCAATGAATTCATTGGGTGATAATTGTGACTGTAACAATGACGTTTTTTTCTACTGAGAAAAGGGAAGTTTTTTTGTTATACGTTGCGGCCACTATTCGCTGATAGGCTGAGGACTGTCCGTAGAAACGTGGCCAGTTTTTCCGCCTAAAACGGTGCTATCGTGCGAGAGGGGTTATCCCACATCATGTGCGGCAGGGCCTCCCGTGGACCGTCGGACGGCTCAGCGGCTGGTGGCGGTTGCAGTAACGGAGTGGCTGAAGGGCTATGGTTGTCATTGGAGCTTGCAGAGGCGCTTTGTCCGTTTTTTGCTCGTTGATACGCTTGGCATTTTCGGTGGCGACCCGAAACGCTCGCACTCCGCGGCGATGCACTCGCTCAGCCCTCGTGCCGTTTCGTCACGGACAGGCGTCACCACGTCCGGGGTCGTGTGTCGTGGCGTGGATCCGGACTGACGTCGGTGGTGTGCCAGCAGTGCTGACAGGCGGCGGTGGACCAGTCCTGCGCTCACCCCTAGCAGCATAGGGAGCAGCAGGATTTGCCGACAACTCTCTCTGTGCGGATGCGTCCCTCCCTTTTCTGCGGATGGGAATGTTGTCCCCCGTTTCCCAGGAACCTCGCAGGCTGCCGTTAGAGAGGTGTTGATAATCTTTCTGAGCGAGCAGTGGGCAGCGGGTGCACGATGGTGCAGAAACGTACTCAATATTTTGTCGGGACCAGGGGCCACGCCATGCGAAGAGTCGCGGATGGCCAATTCAAGCGCACACGGCGTGAAGGGTCAATCCATATTCCAGTCACCAGAGGGCGAACACAAGCACAAAGTCTGCGGACAGCAGTGGGGATCGCAGCACGTGAGATTCGGACAGTGTGACGGAGTAGCGGGTTTGCCTACTGCCAAGGCTGAGCACAGTCGCAGTCCCAAGAGTACCGCAGCACAGCCGATCCCAGAGGGCGGGGACGTGGTGCCGCCATGCCTCGGGGTATCACAGGCCTTGGCTCGAGAGGGTACCAAGCTGTTTCGCACGGACCTCTGGCAGCATGGAGAAGCCACGACAGAGGGCATGATTGCGGTCCTCCCGTTTGCAGAGCACTTCAGCTCGGGGCATGCTGCCGCTGCAACACACTCGGCATGCTCCATTCCGTCCGTACTAATTCCTCTGGAGCTCTCACGGCTGCCGCTCTTACGGTGCCTCAGTGCATCTCCAACCATGTGATTACAGTGGCCAGAGGTGTTCCACACGCCGAGGTGGATGCATTCCAGTCGATTTCACGCAGGACAAGGGCGGCATGTTTTCGTCGTGGCAGCATGCCTGCCTGTCGCGGGTTGCCGTCCTCCGTCCCTGCAGTCTGCAATACCAGAGGGTTGTCCGAGTCCAAACGGGTGTACGTTTAGTGGGAGACACGCAGTACGCGTTGCGCAGTCACGTCGGGAAACAAGACGCTGCGGCCGCTGATAAGCGTTGCCTGTGCCAGGTCGTCGGACAACTCATAGTCCATGCCGCTTGGGGTGACGGCGAGGTCCTCTCCTGCCGTCGTTGATCGTGAGCGACCGTCCCGCAGCTCATCGTGTAGATTCAGGACGCCAGCAATGGGCTCTGCAGGAACAGGGCGACGAATGGTGCTCAAAAGGTGAGCAGCGTGAGCCACAACCCTGGGAAGGCTGCAGAAGATCGCCACGTACATGCTGGGGCTGGCCGGTGGGCACACGCGGAAGGCGGTGGTCTCCAGGCAGTTGGTGCCACGAGCGACAGGCGCTCGCACGGCAGAGAGTGACGCACCAGAATGGCAACGCCACCACCGCGCCCAGTGCAGGCCTGAAGGTAGTCATTGCAGCCAGAAACTTTTGTCGCCACGTTGCTAAGGTCATTTATTTCCTGGGAAAAGAACGATGTCAGGTGGACGCTGCTCCAATCGCGCAGCAAATGTATTTTTTTTTTTTTACAAACGAGAGGCCTGCAATGTTACGCTGCCAAACATTGATGCAGCCATCCTCCTCGGTGCCAGGGTTCTTGTGGACGTCACCGCAACGGGTGATATCAACGGAGTGACCGCAGCGAAACGGTCGTGCAGTTTTGTCCGACAGCCTGCAGGCAGACCGCTTCACCTCCCCACACCGGGCATGGCGTGGAACCTTCTCGAGGGGTGGAGTCGTCTTCTTCTCCGTCGTGCTCGCAGCAACACCCTGCTGCGGAGTTCCTACATGCAACCAAAGCCCCAGCAGCGCGACAAGGTGCGGACCCCATCACCGGGGCCCCAGGAGAAGCCGCAGTGCCTCCTGCTCTCATCAGGGATCCTTCTTGACGTCTTGATGCGGACAAGCGTCCATCGGTTCTTACAAACGAAGCCGCACATCTGCGGCACATCCTGCGCTGTGAGAGGCACGACCCTCACCACAACCGGAGTCGCCCACGCGCCGTCGGTACGCACCACATCGAAAATAAAAAGGCAGGGATGCGTCAGGGTGACAGCAAAGCATCCGCTAGCAATCACTTCGCACGCATCACCACAAGCAGCACCAGCAGCGCTGCAAGCCACGGGTTAACGTGGATCAACTGACGCATGGCGTATGTCGAAGGAAAAACTTGGTGGCCTCACAAGGACAAAAGAGGTTGACACTTCAAAACAAAACAAAAAAAACGATATGGGAATAACAAAAAAAGATTAAATTGTCCGCTGTCACAGCATGCCGCCAATCAAATAAAAGTGGAATGGGTGCACTCAACAACAATAAGGCAAAAGAATAAAAGAAAAAACAAGAAGCCAAAGCGTGGGACGACCAGCGCACACACTCTCATTGCTCCCGTAAAGCAAAACACACACACAGGGAGAGAGAGAGGTCGCCCACTCAATGCAATAAAAACAAAACAAAAACAGTTACGGTGCTCCGCCCATGCAGCCAGGCAGGACGGCAGCGGTGCGTGTCGTGCAAAAGAGAGCACCAACGGGCCTGCATGGGTGTGCATGCATATATACAATGGGCACATTATGTGTGTGCTTCGTGGTATGAGGTGAGGGCGAGAGTCCATGCAAGGGGACACAAACACAGAGAGTGAGTGAAGGACGAGTGTGTGTGCGGGCGGTGCACGGCTCTCTCTCCCTCACTCTCACGCGGCCACCACCGCAGAAGCAGCCGCACACGCAACAAGAAAAAGAAGCAAAGGAAGGGAGGTGGTGTGGGAGGCGGCTTTGATGCCGTCACTGTCGCCAGACGTCGTATCATTTGTTTGGACGACAGTGACTGTTTCTGGTGTCTGCTGTGCAGTCTCACTGAATTTGGGAGCAACGTTGGTATTATCATCTTCGGGGTTGTTGTGTGCTTCTTTGCTGTTAGGCCGTTGATCATCGTCATTATTTCCATCCACCGTACTCTGAGCATCGTCACCGCCATTTGTAGAGATGGATGGTGCTGGTGTTACTCCTTGGCTGTTGGTGGATGCATTCGTCATCGAATCCGATGGGACCGTAACGTGACCGTGTTGTACTGCCACTTCATCCTTTGAAGAGAATTTTAGTTCTGTAGACTCGCTTTGCGACTGTGACGTTCTGCGTTCTTGTCCTGTTGAAGTCTCTGATTTTGTTGCTTCTGGCGGAAGTCCTTCTCCTTCGTCTCGATTTCCCTGTACTTGCGATCCTTCTGGTAGCCGTACTGCTGGTCCTGCTGGTGTGCTGCTGGCGGTATGCGGCAAGTTGAAAAGGCGTTTCCCCTCAATGGCACTCTCTTCTGCCTCTTTTTTGCTTGTCTTCTCATCAGTAACTTGGCGTTCTGTTTCTCCTTGAGCACTAAAAGTCTGTGGTTCACCTTTGGGTTTTGATTCCTTCCGTGCGTCTACGTTGAGTGGTGCAGTCCGTGGAGAGACTGTTGGTTCTGGCCACCCACTTCTTTCTGAAGGTTCCAGGTTCTGTGCGGATGACGCACTGCCCGCACCAGGGGTTGAGGGCGGAAGAGCAACACCAGAAACAGGGAATTTCGAAGACTCAACTCCAGGAGTGCCTCCTCCTCCAATTTCCTTTCCACCTGGGACAGAACCTGTGCCACCACCGGAGCCTGAACTGTCAACAGCGGGTGGCTTGCCATCACCAGAAGAGGAAGAAGAATTCAAAGTGGGGCCTTCACCTCCGTTAGAAGTTTCACCTA